TTAGCATATTAGCCTTTTATATATATAGATATTTGTCCATATGCACCCATTTTTTATATCAGGTTCCTAGAAATAGAAGTGTTTGATCTGCATGAATTTACATAAACGAATTTGATAGAGACAAACTACTCTTCAAAAATCTTGTATCTATTTAGATACACACCAGTAGTTTTCCCAATGTTTTATCCACATCAAAACTAGATATCATTTCTTTTGTATTTAGGAGTTATACCCACAGTGCCCTTATTTCCCTGTTTTAATTCATAGTTCCTGGATTATAACTGAGGCCCAACAAGTTTTTTTTTACATAATTATTAACCTTTTCTAAATATCTTTCTTAAACTTTTCATTTATATTTTTGGTTCAATTGTTCTACTCCATTTTGCTATGTAAGACTTTTTTGTTTTTTACACATAATCATTGTAAATACTTATCTATAATAATAAAAGCGTAATATGCAAATCAACTGAACGGCCAAATAGCGGAACAGCTGTCTGGACGAACATGCTATAACACCCACTGGCGCCAGCCCAGCCAAGGCGGGTGTGATGTGATTGGTCGGGGGCCCTGCCATCGCCCCATGATCACCCTGCAGAGGGAGGCCCAGGCCACTGACTGGCGGGCTGCGGCGGGTATGCAGGACCTGCCTTGCAGGAGTGATCCATCATGGAGCCCCAGATGGATGGGCAGGGACTACCTCTTTGGAGCAATCAATCTCAGAGCCCTGCTATCGATCACCCCAAAGAGGGAGGCCCATGATACCCAGCCAGTGGCACTGTGGTGGGTAGTCTGGGCCTCCCTCTGCTGGGGAGATCCATCATGGGTCCCTTAGCCCAGCCTGCGCCCTCTTGCAGTCCAGGACCCCTCAGGGGATGTCTGCCTGCCTGCTTAAGGTGGAAGTTAGGCATTCCTCTGGCAGTCCGGGGCTCTCAAAGTCTGGGATCCCTCGCTCCTTACTGCCCACATGCAGCCAAGGTGGGAGAGGCTTATGCCACCACCGCTGCATTCATTGTGCTCGCTGCACTCGCCAACCATGAGCCCAGCTTCTGGTAGAATATTTGGTATTTAAATGTTACACATCTAATTCTTATGGATAATTTGAATGAATCCCCATTCCCAATTTCAAGTTTACTCACCCTAATATAATAAACATTTAACTTCCCAGGTTTTATCTTTTGTATTATACAATCACAGTTAGTGATGTACCACCAATGAATAAGCTCATTAATATTTGACTGAAATATTTTAATGCACCCAATGTAGCAATTTAGAAAGGTTAGTAAATACAGGAAAAAACGCTAATGAATTAATATTCAAGCAAGGATAGAAATTAATATAACCGAAGCAATTATAAGTTAATGTTCCCATGGAGGCTAAGTGAGTTATCTCATTGATTTCAGGAAGTATTTTTGTTTTGTTTCTGTCATAATAAAATATGAGTATAGCCTGATGCTTTTAATTCATAGTAAGTAATGTTTATTAATCAACTAATGCCCTTAAATGGATTTTACACAGAGAGTGTTTTCTTTCTAAAAACAAATCTCACATAATGTGAAGAAAAATTTCTTAACTATGTCATATCACAGTTTAGAGATTAAGTGTATTTTGTCCTTTTTGCTTATATTATTACTAGAAGCCTGTTGCACGAAGATTCGCACCATAGGCCTTCCTTCCTGTGGCTGCTGGCACCGTTTTTCCTCCGGCACCCGGGACCCAGGCCTTTGGTCTGCATCTGCCGCAGCAGAGAAGCCAAGCCTCAAGGCTAGGCTTTTCCCCTCCTGCTGCAGCAATGCTTGGAGAAGCCAAGCCTCTTCAGTATTGAGTCTTTAGTCTTCACTCTGGCCAGAACCTTCAGTCTTCACTCTGTGCCTGCATATGCAAATTAACTGCCATTTTTTGTTAAGTTAATTTGCATAGTCCCTCTAATTGGCTGGTGGGTGTAGCAGAGTGACACCAATTTGCATGTTTCTCTTTTATTAGTGTAGATATGTCAAGCAAACACTTTCAAAATATATTTCATGTTTTTTGAACTTTCTTTTAAAAAATATATATTTTTATTGATTTCAGAGAGGAAGAAGAGGGAAAGAGAGATAGAAACATCAATTATGAAAGATAATAAATTATCAGCTGCCTCCTGCACAACCCACATTGGGGATCAAACCCCCAACTCAGGCATGCCCCCTGACCTAGAATTGAACAGTGACCTCCTTTCTGGTTCATAGATCTATGCTCAACCACTGATCCGCACCAGCCAGGCTGAACTTTCAATTGGTATTAGGGAATGTGAAAACCATGATGTCAAAAAGTGCTATTTTTAGTGTTAAATGTCTCTCACTTCTTATTTTTATTTTTTTAAAATTTTTTAATATATTTTATTGATTTTTCAAAGAGAGGAAGGGAGAGGGATAGAGAGCTAGAAACATTGATGAGAGAGAAACATCGACCAGCTGCCTCCTGCACACCTCCCACTGGGGATGTGCCCGCAACCAAGGTACATGCCCTTGACCGGAATCGAACCTGGGACCCTTCATTTCGCAGGCTGATGCTCTATCCACTGAGCCAAACCGGTTTGGCTCACTTTTTATTTTTAAAATCAATGCTAGATGAGTTTTGAAGCAAATCCTGTAATTTAATTATCTTTTAATAGCTTAAATAAAAAAAAATTAAAAGTAATGACTTAGAGAGATATTTCTTTGCATGTCCCTCAAATGAAATGGCATATCTAAGATCAAAATGTCCTAAAGAATATGATATATGACTACTATATAAAATAAATAGCTGTTTTGAAAAATTTAAAGTTGACTCAACACATATAATGTAATTATTTAAAACACATATTTTAAAACTTCCGCAATATAATATTATTATAGAAAATAAGATTGTACTCTTAGATTATAATCATAGCATATTATTTGCATAAATAATTAAATTATTCAACATAATGATCTTAATATAAACATTTAATAAATAATTTAAAATAAATTTATGGTTAATTATCTTTATAAATATTATCTACACTAATTTCCTCATTTTGTGGGAGAGATCAAGCAAAGTATATAAATAAAGAGAAAGACATTTTGTAAAGTTACCTTTAATCACTATAGAATTAAAAATAAAGATTAACACTTCAATGTACATGACTTGGATTAAAATATAGGATATGATTGCTGACTCACTTCATGTTATTTTCCAGCTGAGCAATTCCTTTTCACTAAAATTGAATTAACAGACTATCCTGTGATAACACTTATTTTAAATCTAGTAATTTGGTTACTTAACATTTATCTGCTGTTTTAATTAGCAGCTCTTGGTACATCAAAAAAGTCTTTTTTTTTTAAATAAGAAAGAGGAATTATATTTAAATCTGTTATTTAAATAGAATATGAAATATAAGTGTTTTTTATATGGCATGGTTTATAAATTAGGGCATCTAAATATACCACTTGGATAAAATGTAGAAACATTAATGTATGTATAATGTGTGAATATGAAGTGAATATGATTTATTTGGGTATCTTTCATATATAATGTAGAAGTAATGCCTGTGTGTAATGTATATGAAATATAAATAAAAAGTACGTGAGTGCCAAGTAGACATTAGAATACACTAGAAAACAAATGAGTTATAAAATATATTAGATGATGATTGATGCTATAACAAAAATGCTAGAAAGAAGGAAAGGACAAAGGGGAGGGATGAAGAGAGGAAGAGAAATAAAAGAAAGAGATGCATGCTGTAGCTCAATAGAGAATTTAGATCTGAATCTGAAAGTAATCTCCCTATAGTCAGAAGGCAAAGTAAAAGATGAATGATTTCATTCAGGCATGAGCCCATAGCCCAAGAAAATTGCCAAGATCAACCATGACCAATTCTGAGGAATACTAATGTTTAAGGAGTTGTGCTTTGCTACTGAAGCAGTGAAGGAAGCTTTGAATAACTAGTCAAAGAGGTAGGAAGACACAAGGCTGAAGTGGAAATACAGAAACCAAGAAGTGACATGCTATACATATCCTATAAAATTTAGTTCTCCAAAATACTTTGAAATATCTCTTTACTAAGTGAGATAAGCAGAATTATTTTACTCAATACCATAATGTTGAAGCCCAGTCTGTAGCGTTGATTCTACTAAAGTGTACCTGTAGGATTCTGCCAGCTTGTATTAAAGGGTGTTATAAGAAAAGACCAGTGGAAGTTTTTGTTGTATTTAGTGTGAATGTGTCTTCTTCCTCCCATACACCCTCACTCCCATTTTTCTTTTTTACCTTCTTCCTTCTTCCCCTCCTTCCCTTCCTTCAAGAAAGTTGCTCTGTTCCTTACATGGGTTCCTCTTTTTGAAGATTCTCATTAGAAATTTCACTGATATCTCAGGAATAGAAAGAGTTTTGATACTACTACTTAGTGTTCTCTCTCTCTCTCTCTCTCTCTCTCTCTCTCTCTCTCTCTCTCCCTCCTCCCTCTCCCCCCTCTCTCTTCCTGTCTGGTCTCTCTCTCCCCCTCTCTCTCTCCCTCTCTCATTTCATCTATATATCCATCTGTCTATCTGATATGAATCATGTAAGATATAATGTGAATCATGTAAAGATTTATATTTTTCTTTTTGCACTGACTTATAAAAACCTTAGGGTTATTTCTGGGGACACCTGCTATAGTACCTAACTGTGCCCAGTGTGAATTGATTCCATCTTTCCTAACCTACCAGAGTGCCTCATTCAGTTATTTCGAACTCGATTCTCTCCTGTTAAATTATATGATTTTAGTAAAGCACAATAGTATTTGTTTGCATGAGAAAGAATCTAAAAATTAAGTTATGTGTTTGAAGATTTTTGTACAGTAATTTTTATCTGTTGCAGACTTCATTCAGCATGCATTTGCTGAATTGAGTCAATGGTGGGTCAATTGATATTCTAGAGGCCAGCTTTTCCCAGCTACTTACTCCAAGTCACCTTAGAAGCTTCTCTTGGTGGCTGATTTGACCAGGCTTCATATCTGTCTTCTGCAGTGACAAGGACGGTGTGTGCAGAACAATGTGATGGCAGGTGCTACGGACCCTATGTCAGTGACTGCTGTCATCGAGAGTGTGCTGGAGGCTGCTCAGGGCCTAAGGACACCGACTGCTTTGTAAGTCTGGGTGCTCTTTTTCCCTCCCTTCTAGGTTTGACTCAGGCACATTGAATCCTTAATACCTTATTGAAAAAAATCCAGTTAAACCACTTTAGGATTAAGGAAAATTCTCTACCTTCCTTTAAGCCATGCATTCACTGGGTGGCAATTGATGAACTAGGATTGTTTGTTATGTCTTTCTGTTGCAGTTTATATTACCAGTGAGATTTATTAGAGAATTGAATGAGAGAATATTGAAACATCTTTTAAAAACTAATAGGATCTTTCCAAAATTTACAGTGATTACCTCTTTATGTTGTTGTATCATTGAGTTTCTGAGTGGGGGCACTTGGATTTTATTTTTTAAATATGAATTTAAGATATGTTTACAAATTTAAGCATTTTTAGTTTATGTTATTTACAAATGGATATTATTCAAAATTTATGAGATTTACAAATACACACTTGAAGCAATTTGCATGCTAATCTGTGTGATTTTTATTTTAGAAGAGGATACTTTTACATTCTTAAAATTAACATTTGCCACTTGTTGGGGACACTTTTAATTATATTTTGATAGCTCTGATACAGTTCTTTCTGTTATTTTGAATACATGCAAGCAATTCTGTGAGCTATAGTTAAATGCAATTTCATACACACACAGAGCACTTTAAGCTAACTCATAAATTGTTTTTGTTGTTAAAAATAAACAGAGAAATTTATTTTCTTGTTACCCCTTCTCAAATATTCAGAGAACACACACACACACACACACACACACACACACACACACACATATTTAAAATTGAGTAATTTTTTTTTTTTCAAATTGGCACTTAATTCTGAAAAATAAGCAAAATACCTGGTAGAAACTACAGCTCTTATGAGATGGTCACTTGTGAATTTTTTTTAATGTCACAAAAAATTTTAACTTGTCTACCCTGATTCTACAGTGAAAAAGAGTATGTATTGCAATAGTGAGTCAGGAGGAAGAAGAGAATATTAAAATGTTAAAAATTTAGAGCAGCTCCTCAGCAAGTCTTGGCTTGAGACCCTTTTCATTTGCTTGTCTCCAGACATGGGCTGGAAACGGGATCTGGAGAATGCTAAAAAAGCTTTGGGTTCACAATTCCAAAACAGTAACGACAACAAAACACCAATAGGCATAGCTTTCACTTTGTTTTGTTCATGGTCCCATTGCCATGAGAAGCAGAGTGCCAAGAGAGCTTCGGGATTTTTATTGCATTATTTTATGGAATGGTCCCGTGTTTCCACTTTGGCATTGGCTACAGAATGCTCAGCAATGCCAGATCAAGGCCTGGGTGTAAGCGATGTTGTTGTGTTTGTCGGGTTCCTCTGGCTTATGTTCCTTTGTTGCTAAGCAATCTGTGCACAACATCTCATAAAGTATGTTAGTAAAGCAATTATGAGGAAACATGAAGTTTTATAGCCATAAATTAAAACATACTGAGTTTTCTAGATTGGTTTTTAATAGATTCTTCCTGGAAAGTGTCAGCTTAGTGAATAACGTATCATCAGTGATTCTTGTTCTGATTATGCATCTAGTAGACCATCATCAGGGAATTGTCATGTTGATGATAAAGTGCTTGCTAAAACAACAATTGATGAAGAAAATGTTTTGAGGAAACAGAATAAATTAGTGCTTATTAATAATCATACATACAATTTATGTTGACTGTAAAATATTATTTGAGTTCACATTAGCCTGCTTTGCAAGGCCTAAATTATTCCTAAGAAGGTTTAATACATTTTAATTAAGAGATTTAGTTCATCCACTCTTTGTTAATCACATGTTTTTATGTCATTATATTCCATTTTTATAATAAATACCTCACTTTCGGGTAGTAAATTTATTTTTAATCATTCTTAAAGGCATTTAAACAATTTAACAAATTGAGATTTTAATATAAATATATGCCAGTGGAAATTAATTGTTTTACTTGAATTGGTAGCTTGTATCAAGTTGTGTGGCATTGTGAAAAAGATCATGCAGGAAATAGAATCATATTATTTAATTTGGCATTAACTACCCCTCCATTTACTCTGACCAGTCACCAGCGAGAGCCTTCCTTTGAGTTCAGTGTAATTAGCTATCACGTGTTTTCTCACTAAACAGTGAAAATGAATATCACTTAAGGCACTGAACTCTCCAAACACTAGCTTTAAGAATAGTCTAAGCTGGTCCTAACTGGTTCGGCTCAGTGGATAGAGAGTCAGACTGTGGTCTGAAGGGTCCCAGGCCAAGAGCACATGCCTGGGTTGCGGGCTTGATCCCCAGATTCTCTCTTATCATTGATGTTTCTATCTCACCCTTCCTCTCTGAAATCAATAAAAATATTTTTTTAAAAGAGTCTAGCACTTAGTCTAGCACTAATAACTAAATCACCTATAGAACGGGGGATTTAGTTATTAGTGCTAAACTCTAAGACTCAACATAAACCCTTTGAATCAGTGTGAGCGTAATCATTTTTCACTATTAGCTAATTTTAATAATTTAAAGTAAATATAAATTTACAAATTAGTGGATAGATGCTAGACAATTTGAACATCAATAAACTATAGATAAACTATATTTACTGACATTGGAAAAACAGTTTTGTAGAATTGTAGAAGTCCTAAGCAAATTTGAACTTAAAATTGAGCACTAATGACTATGAAATTATCAAAATTTGCAGTTTTCATGAAACTGATATATACTTAGTAAAGTAGAGAAATGTCTCTAAAAACTGTTCCTCTAATAAGTATCATTAAGGTTATTTTTAAATAAAGTTAATACTTGCTATGTTGCAGGCCTGCATGAATTTCAATGACAGTGGAGCTTGTGTGACTCAGTGTCCCCAAACTTTTGTCTACAATCCAACCACCTTTCAACTGGAGCATAACTTCAATGCAAAGTACACATACGGAGCATTTTGTGTCAAGAAATGCCCTCGTAAGTAGAGGATAAGAATAGCTAAATCAACTACATCATTATTTAAAAACAAAATAATTTCATGTAAATTTATTGTAACTTAAATTTGTCATATCATGAATTGCTTGGGTATGGGGATTATTGCTACCATTTCAAAGATAAAGAAATTTAAATTCAAGTGATCAGTCCAAAGTCTCAGAAAAGAAGTGTTATGTTTGAGATTAGAGTGCAGTCTCATTGACTTCCAAACTCATTATTTTCACTGTACAGCATTGCTTTCCATATCCCTGGACCCCTAAACAGTTTACCCATGTTTCAGGCCATTAGATCTTCTTGGTTTATTTTGTATACCTTTCTTAAGTCATGCCCTTTTAGATTTCAGTTTGTTTCATCCTGTCCAGCTACGGGACAGTTTCTGTGGCACTCCACCGAGAGATCGAACACATTTTAAACATTTCTTCCTGGATGTGAAGTGCACTCTCTTGATCCAAGGCACTTTAACTTCAGCTTTGTTTGTGCTTCCTGTGACTTGAAGTATTTTCGACTTCAGACTTGCATCATGACCTGAAATGAAGTGGAACTGTTGAAAAACACAAACTAAATGTCATGTAGTTTCCTAAGTCTATAAAGGAAATTTGCTCTATTTTAGGGCGTTTCGGGCTGTGGAGCTCAGTCAAGCAAGTACTAGGTCTTGCTAATACATGCGGGCCTCGGATTCAAATGTGGGTGGTCCTGGATGCTATTTCAGGTTGAGATATTTAAACAGGTGTTTTAGGGAAATAGACATTTATATGATCAAAAAATGCTAATTATTTTCACACCCTAAAATAGCTCCTTGTAAACTTGTTTGCAGAACATCAACATTATTGCTAATTTTACCTTTTTTATCAGATAACTTTGTGGTCGATTCCAGTTCTTGTGTGCGTGCCTGCCCTAGTTCCAAGATGGAAGTGGAGGAAAATGGGATTAAAATGTGCAAACCTTGTACTGATATTTGCCCAAAAGGTGAGTGATATCTGAGGGGGCCTACAACAAAGTTTTCATTTACATTTTAATGGGGCCTCTCACAACACACCACTCCCACAACCAAACCTCCCCCCACACCTTTTCCATAACTTTGAACAGTTCCCAAAGTATTTACTATTGTAACAGTGTCTATTACTGATTTTGAATGATATATGCTAAAATGGTGCAGATAAAACTGAGTTAAGTTTGATAGGATTCAGAAAAAAAGTTGCATTTTATTCTATAAGCAGCAAATCTTAGAAATTAGGAGCAAAACAAGTGTTCACACAATTATTTTAGCATCATGAACACATATTAGTTGCTTGCAAATGTATGCAAAATGATCTGCTAAGCATAAAAAGGGGCACAAAGAGAAATGCATTTGACATTTACTCTCCAGGTCTTAAAAAGTTTCTTGAAAGACAAAATATATAAAATGGCAAAGATGTTTACCCTAAGTGTTAAATAAACACATATAATTTACGTTCTATAATTTTAGTGGAGAAAGAAATACCTTCCAGCTATGATGTTCAAATCCCTCACCTGAATGAAACTTAAGTTAAGCAGGGCAAACGTGCAGTTCAAAATTTTCTAATATTTTTGTTTTTCAAAGTAACAGGAATGCCTTAAAGTCTTACAAGGACAAACTTAAGACTTACTATTAGACTACATTCTCTCCCTCTCTCCCCCCTCACCCCCACAAACACACACCTGTTTTGTGTTGTTTTCTTCTTTCTTTTTTTTTTAAGTACAGCCTTCAGAAGGCACAGGTAATAATTTAACTCAACTCACATCATTCGTACTCTGTTTAATATGTATTCTTTTTTTTTAATATATTTTATTGATTTTTTACAGAGAGGAAGGGAGAGAGATAGAGAGTTAGAAACATCGATGAGAGAGAAACATCGATCAGCCGCCTCCTGCACATCTCCTACTGGGGATGTGCCCGCAACCCACGTACATGCCCTTGACCGGAATCGAACCTAGGACCCCTCAGTCCGCAGGCCGACGCTCTATCCACTGAGCCAAACCGGTTTCGGCTAATATGTATTCTTAATTGGACCAGTGTTTTTAAAACTGCAGATTGTAGACTATCATTAGGCTATGAAATTATTTAAGTGACCAGCATTTAAAAAGTATTTTAAAGAAATATTTTAGGATGGATTAGAAATGAGGTGATTTTATATAGTAAGAGGAAGTACTTGTTGTGGAAAGTTTTGTTTTAGTTTTGTATCTGTTATGTGTATATACGGGGTCTTGATATAAAATAGAATTCTTATAAGTCATGGTCACTAGATGATAATACCAGGATAATATTTATAAGCAGGCCAAGTAATAAATGTTGCATGAATGGATTATTATTTTATTTATTAGAAAACAATGTATTTCTTATGGTAAATATTTTTATTTTCTAATGAAAACACACTGTTATTTTATAATGAAAAGGCAATTATTTATTCACTGAAATTGGTTTCTCAAATTTCCCAACTGTGACTCCTGTTTCTCCAGCATGTGATGGCATCGGCACGGGATCACTGATGTCCGCACAGACTGTGGATTCCAGCAACATCGACAAGTTCATAAACTGCACCAAAATCAATGGGAATTTGATCTTCCTTGTCACTGGTATTCATGGGTTAGTATTAAATGTTTACAGAAAAATATTTTAGAAGTGCAGACTAAGGTTAAGAGTCTTTTGCTTTGTCTGTTTGATCTTTTGACCCAGAAGAATCCTACCTGTGTTAATGCTATTCTCCAACAAAATCGGATGGCAGGCTTCACCAGCAGTGATAGTAAACCAAAGTTTGGGATGCATCAGATTATGAGATTAGTGACTGGTTAGATTTAAAAAATATAAATTTATATACAAGCTAAGATGTATTTGCAGGACATTCTCATTACATCCTTAGATTTCAGCAAGCTTGGCATATCTTCAGATATGATTAGGGAAACAATATCAATGGGTAAAGTGGGGAATTCCATTCAAATTTCTAAAAAAAAAATAGTTTAAAACAATGTAAGTTAATACTTCTTTTTACAAAAAGTATCTCACAAAAATCAAATCAGAAAATTAAAATTGTCCTGAGCTTTCAGAACATCTCTTTGTCTTTATGTGCATTTTTCTTTTTTTTAAGACTGGAAAGTTAGTACTACTCTGAGAAATCTATAAAATGAATTTCATTTTAGCAGTAAAAATCGTAACATTTTCTAGGCTCCTTCATTACAGAACCCCCTGCTGGTTTTAACTAGGAAAACAACCCAGTTTGTAGTCTTTCAATTGCGATAAAAATGTCAATATTTTACTTTATATTTTATCTATTTGTCTACATTACTACCTATACCCTAAATATTAGTGCTACAAGCTACAGATAAAAAGTATCACTCCCATATTTCAGTTCAAAATCTTACTGTAAACATGTGTCACATCATTTCTAGAAAGAACATAATTTAACACATTTAGAATAAATATGTCCTAATAGAAACAGCAAGAGAAATAGGACAGAATAGTTTATTTTTTTCTATTTAAATAAATCGCTCTAGGTCTTATTACATAAGCATTTTTTTTTCCCTTTAGAATGTAGCTTTGAATATGGGTCTATGCCAGATACTCTAATAATGTGTATATACTTTCTACCCCAGGTATGATATATTGGCCCATGTAGTATTTTCTTTAAAGGTCAAGATTTCTAAGTTCTTTTTAAAAATGTATGTACTTGGCTATTCTTAGCCCACATTTTTACATAGCAACACTCTCTTCAAGCTAGGCAGTACTAGCCATTTTAAGATGGGACACATTCAATCAAATTCACTATAGTACCCACTGGCTCTTTGTATCCATTTTTCATTGCTATCATTGCCTCCATGGTCATTGGGTAGAAGACCTGTGTTGATATTTAGGTGCTTCCATATAATTTAAAGCATATGTGACACTTAGTAAAACAACATATTCATATTTTAAATATACTGAATACCAAATATCACCATGAATGACAGAGCATATCATGTTAACAGTATCTTATGAGAAATAAGACATAAGCCACTTGATTCACAGTATCTGATTTCACCTGGATATAATAAATGATTGGCCTGAAGTCCATCAGTATGGGTAAAAATTTTAAAACAGACACATTAATTTCAGTACACAAGTGGTTTTCATCTCAATCAGACCAATATCCATCTCATATATTCAGCATTTTAATACTTCCTTTTCAATTCTGAAATAAAAGTCATAGATAAGAAAGCTTCCATATACTAGTATATCCTATCTAATAATAGACAAACATGCTAATCAACCTTAGCTCCAACACTTTTCCCATTGGCTAATCAGGGCGATATGAAAATTAACTGCCAACCTAGATGGCGGCTGGCAGCCAGGCAGCTGAAGCGAACAGGAGGCTTGCTTCCTCCAGTGATGGAGGAAGCCAAGGTTCCCCGCCTGCCGCTGCCGGCCTCTGAGCTGCATTCAAAGAAACAATGTTGCAATTATAGAAGCTAAACAAACCCCCGAAACCTGCTTTCAGCCAGCCGGGCCTCAGAGCTGGAGTTGCAAAAGTGTTTCAATTACAGAAGCCAAACAAACCCAGATACCTGCTTTCAGCAGCCAAGGCCTCAAGCTGGAGCTGAGCCTCAGAGCTAAAGCCGGCTCTCAGCTCCAGTGACAGCCATAGAAGGTAAATAAATCCCAGAATAAAAAAAAAAGAAAAAAAGGAGAGGTTGGGAGCTTCAGTCACCCACCAGCCTAAAAACGGCCCTCAGCCCCTCACCCAGACTGGCCAGGCACCCCAGTGGTGACCACCACCCTGAAGGGGGTGTGACCAGCTACAAACAGCCATCATCCCCTCACCCAGGCTGGCCAGGCACCCAAGCGGCTCCCCCACCCTGAAGGGGGTGTGACCAGCTGCAAACAGCCATCATCCCCTCACCCAGGCTGGCCAGGCACCCTAGTGGGGACCCCCACCCTGAAGGGGGTGTGACCAGCTGCAAACAGCCATCATCCCCTCATCCAGCCTGGCCAGGCACCCAAGCAGGACCCCCACCCTGATCCAGGACACCCTTCAGGGCAAACCAGCCGGCCCCCACCCATGCACCAGGCCTCTATCCTATATAGTAACTAGGTAATATGCAAACTGACCCTAACAGCAGAAGGACTGGAAATGACTGGTCACTATGACACAAACTGACCACCAAGGGGCTGACGCTCAATGTAGGAGCTGCCCTCTGGTGGTCAGGGTGCTCTTACATGGGAGGAGCTCTACTCAGCCACAAGCCAGGCTGATGGTTGCAAGTACAGCGGTGGTGGTGGGAGCCTCTCCTGCCTCCTCAGCAGTGCTAAGGATGTCTGACTACAGTTTAGGCCTGCTCCCTGCTGGCAAGTGGACATCCCCCGAGGGCTGCCAGGCTGCCGGAGGGATGTCTGATTGCCATCTTAGGCCCAATCCCCGGGGAGCGGTCCTAAGCCAGCAGGTGGTCAACCCCTGAGGGGTCCCAGACTGCGAGAGGGCACAGGCCGGGCTGAGGGCGCCCCCCTCCCCTCCGAGTGCATAAATTTTTGTGCACCGGGCCTCTAGTATATACATATATATATATATATATATACTATATATATATATACTATATATATATATATATATATAATATATATATATATATATATATATATTTAAGTGATTTTAATTCTTCAGTTGTAATTTATTTATTTTTTGAATTTATCTTTATTGTTGAAAGTATTACAAATAACCTCTTTTCTTCCCATTGACCCCTTCTGGCCACACGCATCCCCCCACCCCAGGCTTTCATCACTCTATTGTCAGTGTCCATGGGTTATACATATATGCATATAAATTCTTTGGTTAATCGTTTCCCACCCACCTCTACCTTTTCTCTGAGATTAGACAGTCTGTTCCATGCTTCTATGTCTCTGGATCTATTTAAAGATGAAATAAGAGAAAATGTTTAGTTTCTAGAACAATAGTGCCATTGCCAGAGATAGACTGTACTCTTGTTTCCTTATTTAGAATGGGAATCAAAGGCAAAACGCAGTGTTTAGGGTTATCCATGGGAATAATCCCCCTTTAATCTTGTCATGTTTGACATGGTTTATGTGCATGTGCTTGAAGCAACAAAATGCTCACCAGATAAACATGTCCATACTGTGTCACAATGAGACACTGACAAGGAAGTATTCAGATGACACACTGCAAAGTTGAAAGACAATGAACATGTGATAATTGGTTGAATGAAGAAATAGATTGTGATGCAATTGTGAAAATATGTTGCTCTGTCTTTATCCTGAGCTTTATATTGGATCACCAGCAATGGTGACAGAGTGCATGTAATGTTCTTACTCACGGTTCTGAATTTAGCTAGTAAATTTCTTGACTTTATAGTTCTATGGATTTCAAGTGTCTATAGAATGAAACTCCCTACAGGTACTCTGAAGTTGGTAAGTGGGATTCTGTCAACTTATTTTATGAAAGTCCTGAATCTCTAAATTAAGTATATAAAATGTCTATGGTCCATTGGGCTTCATGTGAACAGTCCAGAATTCACTTAATTCCCCACAACCTGGACATGTTCTTAATATAGGACTGAAGTGACCCCATTATTATGTTCTTGCCCTGGGTTTTGAGTGTTTCTCAATAAAGTCAGAATATTTTATTGTATGGCCAGAGCTGTTCTAGACACTGCTTTTCATCAGAAATCAAATGTTGAAAGTTCATTCTGCTACTGTAGTGCTGACATTTATTCTGCATACAAAAGTCTTTGCCCATAAAATAGGATAACAACAAGAATTTATAGTGAACTTATTTTTTATTTTTGCTTCCTATTCATACAAAGCATAGTCATTCATTCTATGCATCTTCAGTTATAAATAGAGCAAGTTTGCCAGAACATTTAATTTAGACTTGAAGTTTTTGAGGGCTCTTAATGTCACATTGAGGAACGTATTCATTATTTATGTGTGAATTATAGGGAAACTCATTTATAGTGTTTCTCCAAGCTCTCCGTAACTCTCCATTTAAACTAGTTGTACAGTAAATGGACCGCACTTCTTAGTTTGAAACAGTCATTTAATCAAGCAATTTTTTTCCCTTTGACAATATGGGATGTTCACAGTGTAGAAGAATACGCCAGTGAATCAAGTTGAGACAGCTACACTAAAGGTAGTTCCATATATCATGGTTTCTGGAACTAATAGAGTCTATAAGAGGCTCTAAGATAAATAACTGCCAGGAGATTCACACTCAGATTCCCCTCAAACAGGCCATATGCCAATTTTTCAGGGGACTTTGGAGCACCTGGATTGATAACCCTGTTAAATCACATCCAGTGGACTACCATATCCTAGTGTTTATTCTCTGGAAACAAAAGAAGGTTCCTAAAGATTGGTAAAACAACAGATGTCCTAACTTAGACACAAAAAACAGTATGGTGGTTACCAGAGGGAAGAGAAGTGATGGGAGTAGTAAAAGGTAAACGTGGTCAAATATATGGTGACAGAAGAAGATATGACTTTGGGCGGTGGGCAATACAGTGCAGTATGCAGGTGCTATAACATAGAATTGTACATTTGCACCTATATACTTTTATTAACCATTGTCACCCCAATATATTTAATTAAAAATTAAAAAAGCAATATAAAAAAACCAAATAAAGATTGTTTTTATATATGTATAAGGTGCAAAAAATTGGCAGATGTTCATAGCAAGAATAAAACTAAATTGATTGCTACAGGTGAATATGCTTCTAAAGAAGCCTAAGTTCATTGTTCTTAGAAGGTTTGATCTCTCTTAGAGAAGAGAATTCAATTTTTCTCTGAAGAGCATATTTTAATATTAGGGCTCTACTTGCTCAGGATAGCACAGAGTAATTTTAAAGTAATCAAACATTTTCAAAAATACTATGTATTCCTTAAACATTGAAAATATTCCTTGAATTACTGAGGAATGTTTGGTATTATTATGTTTATGTTTGGCTTAATATTCAAGTTTGCAATTATTTCATGTGATAAGTATATTATACCAAAAAATGTACTTAAGATGAAAACCTCTGAAAAAAACCCTATTAAACATTTAATTTTAAAAGATATGTATGTTCATTTTTGAAAAGACAGGTCATCTCTCTCTGTATACATATCAAAAACATTTTTTACAAAAATATGTGTATGCATTAGATCTTCAAATTTATAACACCTTTTGAATATGATTAAATTTATTGTAAATTGTGTTTTTAAATCTTAGTATGATTTATATAGATGGAAGCAAGTAGGTCGGTTATAAAAATGAATATAAATATCAGTTAGGAACAAAATTGCTCTAAATAATTCATATGAAGAGATACTTTTATATAATGTTATAAATATTATGAAAACTCACTAATAGGTAAATATGGAGATACAGCAAAAAAGGTGACTTCATGTGTTTGTTTTTATGCTTCTTAAGAAATTACAAGTGTTATTCACAATTTTGAGTGCTTTGAGGAGCCTGGAAGGCAATGTCCTTACTATAACATAGTCTATTTGCAGGTTTTATTTTCCCAGTTAAGAATAAACGTTTAAAGCAAAATATAAAGCATGGTTAATAAATGGATTTGCTGTATTTGGAGGTCTTCTGTATAATCAAACTGAATCATTTCTCTAAATCTAGACTTGCCTTTGATAAACTCATATTCTCTGTCATCAAAGTGGTCCTCAAAGCAACTTTAAATTTTCCTCCATATCCAAGGCAGAAAAATCTGGACAGACATTATTACCCTTCCTCTTGATAATGACAATTCAACTCGAATAAAATAATGTCACATTTTTATATTTTTATTCCTTTATTTAATTTTGAATCTGACTGCTTCTCTCCTGGTTTTTCTAGGGACCCTTACAATGCGATTGAAGCTATAGACCCAGAGAAACTGAATGTATTTCGGACAGTCCGAGAGATAACAGGTAATTTTTCAAGTGCAATTGTGTTACTAACCATGTGAATTTTAACAATTTCTTGAAAATATTATATAATATTGGAACCAGAAACTCAATTTCAAAGTAAATTCAAGTCTCTACTCCTTAGCATGTATGCACATTTTGAAAGCCCATGGAATTTAAAGAGTAAAATATTCTTGACATTTTGATGTTACTGTTTTGCAAGTGCCAATTGATCTTTGGAAGCATTTTTTTTTTTACCTTTTCACAAGAAGTACTATTTAGTGTGGGTAATGCATAGCATTCATTTAGCACATGTTTATAGAGCATGTAATACATTTGGTGCTGTTATAGTAGATGATATGGGTTTATAGAAATGAATTAAACATGATTTGTTACTAAAGAGTATAAAGTCAAATGAGGAGGGGTAAGTATGTATGTCTATGTCTTAGAATGCAAGATGGGCAACTGAGGTCTACTAGTAAGTGTATAGATACAGTGGTAAAGGATTTCAGGGAAATTGAAATTGAATTTTTCTCTTTATCTAGTTAGTCTAAATATTTTTGCTTTTAGAAGAATACATTAAATTAAGATTTATGTAGATTAACATCTACAATTATATGATTCCATATGTCTGAGAAATATAGATTTTTGGTGCTTATTATCATTATTGTTATTGACAGTATTACAGATGTGCCCCATTCCTCCCTCTTTGTCCCCCTCCTTTGATATTCTTTGGAGTACTGGAGCCATGAAACTTTGGCTAAAACACTCCATTTTGGAAGAAGAAATATGAGATAGAATGGTTCAAAAGTAGGAATATTCACTTTCCTTTTCTTATCTTTCAACACATTTTTATCATATTTCAAGAATAATCAGTGTTAAACACTATTGCTCAGACAATGATGTAATGAATTTTTCAACTGTCCTCTTCTTTTATAGGTTTCTTGAACATACAGTCATGGCCTCCAAACATGACTGACTTCAGTGTTTTTTCTAACCTGGTGACCATTGGTGGAAGAGTACTCTATAGGTAGGTTTATATGTTCAAAGATGCAGGTCTCCCAGATTTCAAGAGTAGCATCATGTACATATTACATCAAAACTATTAACCTCATGAATTTACTGATTCTAGAAATATTGGGTTTCTTCTTTTAATTCCAATGTGAGTTCAACAAAAAGTTACCCCAGTTGTGCTTAAAGTATACAGAATACACAGCTGGACTTTCCAACCACCTATCATTAAAGTAATAGTAATGTTTTGCAGGTATGGAATGCATGATATGAAGCATAAGTTTAACTCTTTTTATCATATTTATTATAATTCAAAGAGAGAGTTGGATGACTTAGAAATAGCTCAGATGTAGGGGATACAAGTGCCATACGGGAAGTTCTTGTTTTGCTTCTGGTGCTTTCATTTGAACCAAGCATCATGGAGCTGATGTTTCACGAATTAGTCCACCTCCCTCTGTGCAGTGCTAGTTGTAATAAACAGAATGATCAAGGCTCAAAAGGACGCTGTTCTAATGTCAATAGTTTTATTCATATAATAAAAGTAGAGTTAATATTTACTAAGCCACTGCTTTTACTTTATTTCAGATTTTTATCTTTATGAAACTATTGTTTATGAAGAGTTAAAAGCTGATTTACATAAGGATATTTTAATTTAATGTTTATTGCTTAAATCTAAATGCTGCCTGAAATCAATATTGTCATCAAATATTATATAATGGCATTTCACAGAAAATTCATTGAATTTTTCTATTAAAACAGGTGTATTTATAAGAGGTTTTAAAAGGTAAATGGGGAAGTATTAATATAAAAGGAGAGTTCAGAGATATAACTTAGTCATGTTATATGCAACAAATTTTACTATCTACTGAATATTATAAGTATATCAAGGCATCATTATACTCATATTATAATCCACAAATCAAGTATTTATAATGAGAGCCAGGATTTGAGAAAATGAATTATAGCTCAGTTGAGTATACACACACACACACGTGCATATTTTGCTGATATATATGTCAGCAAACTATTTTTAGATTTAGAAGTAAAATAAAAGGGAACAGTTTAGATTTCCAAAATGTAAAATCATGTCCATTAGTTGGAATGCGGGAAACACAGTTATTCTTCAGAGAATGCAAAAGGAACTTAACTACAAAATGTGGACTATATTGAAATAAAAACAATTTCCTTGACATGATTGTTTCTACCGTGTAGTTGTTACTTAACATTTAGAGATTCTTTCCCCAGTTGTAGAAGCCTTCTGAATATTTTGTAAAATTGAAGTTTAACTTCCTTCGTCTCTGTAAATTTTTATATCTCCTACCTTTACTTATACATTCTTCAGCTATTACAATTATCCTTTTGTTCCTAAATAAATTAAAGCCTAAGATCAAAGAAATTCTCTGCAATATTTATCCTTGGAAAGCATTCTGCACCTATTAAATAGAATACAATTAATATCTTACTTAGGGTATATGGAAGTCATTCCACATAAATATATTTAATTATTTAGTCTTAACACAGGATTTCATTCTTGAGGAACTGAAGATGTGAGGGAAGGAGAGAAGGCAGTGAGCAGATACGTCAGTGGTAAATAAGTGCACAAAGACAGAGATATCATTAATATTCATACTTCTAAAAGTGAACCTGTTTCCTTTGGGTATTACTGTTAAAGCCTCCAGTATGTAGCATGTAAAGATTAATATTCTGAGCACAGATTTATTGACTCAGTTCTCTCTCTGTGGTCTGTTTATCTTCTTTGGAGTAAGATGTGACACCCGATATTTTACTTTAGAAATGAATGTCCTGGCCAGAAAATATTTATTATCGTTCCATGTTTTCTCTCTCTCCTCACTTTAGTGGCCTCTCCTTGCTTATCCTCAAGCAACAAGGCATCACTTCCCTGCAGTTCCAGTCCCTGAAGGAAATCAGTGCAGGAAACATCTACATTACTGACAACAGCAACCTGTGCTACTACCACACCATCAACTGGACGACGCTCTTCAGCACGATCAACCAAAGAATAGTGATTCGGGACAATAGGAAGGCTGAAAACTGTAGTAAGTACATTATTCAGACATTAAAACATAGAAGTTTTAGCCCAGCCAGTGTTGTTCAGTGGTTGAGCATCAACCTACGAACCAGGAGGTCACAATATGATTCCCGGTCAGGGCACATGCTGAGTTGGGGAGCATGCTGGAGGTAGCCGATCAATGATTCTCTCTCATCCCTAGTGGGGAGCATGCAGCATGCAGGAGGTAGCCAATCAATGATTCTCTCTCATCACTGATGTTTCTCTCTCTCTCTAAAGTCAATAAAAATATTTATTTTTAAAACAATAGAAGCTTTAAACATTTTCTCCCATTCTATATTTGAGCAAACAGTTCAAATTACAGTGGGTCAGAATACTAGACTTCTTTTCCTCAACCCTTAAGAGTGGTTGGTATAGAATAACCAGAATAAGTGACTTGTTTTATAGTATATTAGAGGCCTGGCACATGAAATTTGTGCACAGGTCGGGTCCTTAGACCTGGCCTGTGATCAGAGCCGATCTTCCAGGCTGCTGGCAGCTGGCCCCACCCCTCTCCCCCTCCCTCCCCCCCACTCCCCACCCCCACCCCTGCTGCAGCTGAGGGTCGCCCTCTGTGTGTGGGAAAACAGGCAGGGCAATCAGGGCCCTGACACCACCCGCATCCACCGCCACCCACCCCCAGTTCCCAGTTCCCCATTGGGGTCACTGCTCAGTGTGTGTCATAGCCGACTGTTCGTTCTGCAGTCTAGTTGATTTGCATATTACGCTTTTATATATATATATAGATTATGTATGTGCAAATCTTAAGCATCCACCTGTGGAAATTTAAATTCAATAGGTGTAAGTGGGACTTGAAAACTAAATGTTTAATAAACATCTGGGTAATTTTTTGGATCCAATCAGTTTGTGGAAATTCACCCCATTGAATTTTCTGTTCACTTTCAGTGAATTTGATAACATAGGATAACAGAGTATTTCCCATTTGGGAGTGATGGAAAAAATGAAGATGTTTTCTCCTGAAAAGTGTGAAATGCTATTCAAGAAAAAAGTTCATTTCATAAGTGCATTTCTTATTCACTATCTTTTTTCTCACTTATTTTGATGTTTATTGATCCACTCCATCACTAACTAGACTGTTTCTGTGTTATACTTTCCTGATTTTCTACTGAGTACTACTATCTTTTACATCCTAAGAGTTCCACTACTATGCATTTGTCTGACTTGCATATGATAAATGTCAAATAAAATACTTAGAATTTAAATGATTTATTCATAAAAATGTATTCTAATTGTGGTTATGATGAATTAGTCTTGTTAAAAAGTCACATCCCCTAAGGAATATTTTGCTATCAGGATGCCTTCTTATTTATTAAATCCATTGGAACAATTACAAGGGTATAAACACATATGTTTAAATTTATTTTTGATACATGTGAATTGATAATATAGTATATTTTTAAGAAAATATAAACTCTTAAGAAAGCAGATATAATTTAATCTTACTAAGTAAAGTAGTCAGTAAAATAATTTATTTACTAATACTCCATCTTGTTTTATAAAGGGTTTAAGGCAGCTCAGGTTACCAATTTTCATAAACTGTAGCTATAATTTGTGAGGAACTCACATTTTAGCTGTTTTGGATCCTGAAAAATATTTTCCAGAGAAAAGAGATCTATTGTAACATGAGATTCCTATTGTGAGTGAACTTAAGTTCTTACACATTCTTCTATTCCACATAGACTCAAGAAATACAAAATTTTATTACGTATATACCAAAATATGTATGTTTACATTGGATGAGATGTGTCCTTTAATTTAGCCTAGATTATATCCTTAGTTTTATACATTTCTGATTCTTGACAGAAAGTTTGCTTTTCTTTTTTCTAATTCTTAATCTTTTTATCCCACGTTCACTCAACCAGTGGTAGACATGGAAAGAATAAGAGTAATGAATAGGAGCCTAGATATTAAGAAATTTTTAAATGGTCTCCTAAGAGCTTAAACAATGAATAGGTATATGTTTGATTCCTCAAAAATGGTTTTCCTTTTCTCTTGTAATTTAAGCATTTTAAGATTGTCTTTGTCAAGTAACAGACTTAGTGATTTATAAAAAATCTTCACAATATGAATTTAGTATACTGGTTCAGTATACATGTATTTGTTGATGTAGAATATACTTTTGCACAAATATTATCGAAGGAATATACAGTTCTATATTTATCTCTGATTTTGATATTCCTCCAGTTTGATAGTAGAAAAATCTACCTCACTCAACATGCAATTAGTAAAAAGGAATTGTAAAACTATAGTTAATGACTAATAACTAAACCTTCTGCATTTGCCACACCTTTTGGTAAACCATAGCTCAGTATGAATCATAAAGTGCATAACTTAGGATATAGTAAAGTCATTCTTCTTCTAAGTAACCAGAAGATAGAAAATCTTAACTGTACTTTTAAAATTTGTTTTATTACCAATGTAATACATTAATACATTCTTCTTTGTAAAAAAAAAAAAAAAAAAAAAAAAGAACACCTCAAATTAGATTTTCTTACTGTATTTGAAACAGCATAATGTTTAATTACAAAGTTGCAAAATGGTCTCTGTGTTCTTTTCAAAATGTTAATAAGCAGTTACAAATTTAGAAATGACATCCCTTCCATTTGTAACCTGGAAACTCTGAAAGAATGGAGGGCCTCTCAACAATAACAGCCAGGATTACTGCAGGCTTCCGTTTTTATTACAAAGGGCAATATTTTAATAACTTGCCAGTAGATCAGTATTTGAGATATTTTAAAGCAAAAACTTTTAAGTCTGGTCTCCAATTTTCAATGATTGTTGTTTGGATAGTATAGTATTGTGGTATGTATTATGTCGCCAACCCCCAACACACACACACACACACACACACACACACACACACACACACACACACACAAATGTGTTGAGCCCTAGCCAGTTTGGCTCAATGGATAGAGTGCTGGCCTGAGGACCAGAGGGTCCCGGGTTAGATTCTGGTCAGGGCTCATGCAGGAGACAGCCAATCGATGTGTTTCTCTCACATCTCTAGTTCTTTCTCTCTTGCTTCCACTCTCTCTAAAAATCAATGGAAAAATATCCTCCGGTGAGGATTAATGTGTATGTGTGTGTGTGTGTGTGTGTGTGTGTTGAAGTTTTAACTCCTGGTACCATGAATGTGATCTTATGTAGAGAGAGGTTTTTTGTAGATGTAATTAAAATGTAGATGAGCTTATACTAGATTAGAATGGGCCCTTAATCCACTATAATTTGTGAGAATAGGAGAAGAGAGACAGTGACAGACAGGCACACAGAAGAGAACATCAGGTAAAGACATACACACATAAAGGGAAGACAACCAATGAAGACAGGGTCAAAGAATAGAGTTACGCATAAGTCAGGAAAACCAAGGAACGCCAGCAACCCCCAGAAACTAGGAAAGCCCCTAGGAAAGATCCAGCCAGCCAACACCTTGATTTTGAAGCAGAACTGTGATAGAATAAATTGTGATACAACTGTGATAGAATTGTGATAGAAGAAATTTCTGTCATTTTAGGCTATCATTTTGTGGCATTTTGTTATACCAGACCTGATAAACTAATACAGACAGTGGTATAACAGTGAAAGCTAATATAGATCAGGAGGACCCAGGGTTCTGCATTTTTAATACCAGATCTTTCTGAGGCAGGTGTCTGAGGAAAATCCATTTAGAAACGCTATTGTGTTTTATAACACCCCTCATTATTCTTTTTATTCTGTAGTCAGAAATATATTTTAAAAACACGTTGCCCTGGTAATTCATTTCATCTTTTGAGGATTTGTTCTCTCAAAAAGGACCTATTGTAGGAAATTTTCAGTTGGGCCACTTAACACTGTATATTTAATAACAGTTTTGGGAGACAAAAAGAAAGAATGGACCAAAAATGAGTTTTATCAATAGTGTTCTGTTTTATCCTTTTACTAATCTAACACATTCAAGACATTAAAGGGGATATTTAATGCTTATTTACACATTGACTAATTATAGTACAATATATATTTTACTATTATATTTTATTTACTTCAGAACTTCGACAACACACTTATGAACTTATTTTACTTTTTTCAAGTTAATGTGCCTTCTGAGAAGTACTTTATAATGTGCTCAGTGTTCTAAGAATATTCAAGGACTTTTCAATATTTTATCACTGCTGTCACAGCTGCCTGTCATATATCCCTCTACCAGAATTTTCTCCCCAGGTCCTACTCAAGTCAGAGATATAGTACCTAGAGCACTTAAGAGTGAACAAACTTTTGGTAACACCTGTTTCACCTATTCAGTATGGTGAAGGGGTATGTCTTATTCTTCCACTCCTACCTTCTCCTAAATTTTATGGCTTTAACTTATTCCAACATTTTCAAAAACCCATAATGACATTCTCACTTATATATGTCTACATAAAGTGCTTATTGCAATAGAATTTTATAATCCCCACCCCAAGGATGACCACATCCTAATCCCCAGTATCTGTGAATGCTACTTTATATGGCAAAAGGGACTTGACATATGTAATCAAGCTGTGTATTTTAAGATTGGCAAATTAATCTGGACTATCTGGGTGGGCCCTAAATGTAGTCACATGTGACCTTATGGGAAGGAGAAAAAGGGATATTTGATTTTAATAAAGGAGACGGTGATGTGACCATGGAAACAGAGGTTGGAATTATATATCTACAAGCAGAGGAATTCCAAAGTGGCCTCTGAAAGCTGGAAAAATTAGCTCAAAATGGATTAAGGACTTAAATGTAAGACATAAATCATAATACTCCTAAAATAAAACATAAGAGGTAAGCCTCTTGACATTGGTTTTGGCAATGATTTTATGGATACAATACCAAAAACAGAAGCAACAAAGCAAAAATAAACAAGTGGAACTATATCAAACTAAAACATTTTTCAAAGCAAAAAAAAGCAATCAACAAAGTGAACAGGGAACCTATAGATTGGGATAAAATATTTGCAAATTATGTATCTGATAAGGTATTAATATCCAAAGTATATAAAGAACTAAAAAAACTCAATAACCAAAAACAAAATAAAACAAAGCAAACAAACAACTATGAATAAAAGTGGGCAGAGGACTTGAATGAACATTTCTCCAAAGAAGACATACAAATGATTAACACAAATGTATGAAAATGTGCTCAACATCTCCAATCACCAGGGAAATTCAAATTGAAACCACAGTGAGATGTCACTTAACACCTGTTAGAATGGCTATTTTCAAAAGAGGAGAGTAAAGTGCTGGTGAGATGCAGGGAAAAGGGGTGTAATTTGGTTCAGGAACTATGGAAAACAGTATGGAGGATCCTCAAAAAGTTTTAAATTACTACCACATGACAAAACAATTCCACTTGTTATAGAGTCCTATCAGCTTTGGAAGAGGGAGGGTGAAGGGACAAGAGTGAGAGGTTTTCAAACTACAAAAAAAAAATGTGTGTGTTTTTTTTTGTAATAAGTCTCTATATTATTGTTCTTATTATCAAAGAAATACTTGTTTATTACCAAAAGTGTTACAAAATATAGATAAATTAAAAGAAGAACATGAAAAATAACTAAGCTTCACATTAAGTTATTTGTAGGTTCTAAAACCCAATATTATGCTATCCTACCTCCTTTCAAAAATAGTCATTTGTCCATTTCCCCCAAAAAATAATAAGCAGAAATAAGTAGATCAGGAAATGGGCAATAACAAAGAGGTACGGATACCTTTATCAACGGCCTGAAGGCAGAATCTTAAAATGTATTTTATGGCCTTAGACAAGTAGTTAAATAAACAAGGAACGTGAGGCATTGATTATGTTTTCTATACCAATATGAGGGTGTTTAATATGAAGAGCCAGAGATGCATAACACTGAGCAACATGATTTTGAATATATTCTACTTGTCTTTACAAGTTGCTTTTGTTATGGGTGGTTTTTCCCCCCTCTTCAAGGATTCCTCTGATAATCATGTTTATTCCATAAGCAAGTATATATGATAATTATATATAAATTCTTATATGTTTCAGACTATGAAATAGTTCATAAATAACGTTAAAATGGCTGAATGTTTATAAAAATGGGTAAATGGGTATTATAACTTTATATCCATTAATATCATTTATCTTTGCTTCTTTTTAACTCTTAAGCTATTATATAGATTTTGTTCTTATACATTTATATTCCATCAGCTCGATTGAACTTTCTTACTTCTTACATCTTCACAAATCTGTGGGAAATCACTTATACTCCAAGGGAATCAGTGATATGAGAACTATATTAAAATTCCATTTCTACTGACATTTCTTTTGCACGGTGAGAGAACTGAATGAGTCAGAAGGAAAGAACTCTTGCAATTAGTTTAAAATCAATATAGGGGATAAACTGTTAGAATTTCCCAAGTAGAACAACAAATCATTCAACTTTTGAAAAGTGTCTCCATATAAGAAGATAAAAATAATTATAATATATGTTATTTAAATTTAATACATCTTCAAAAATGGAGAGTACCACAATTAAGCAAAGTCTGCAAACTGATGAGTTACCTAAAAAAGGAAAATATATTTGAGAAGAGGGACAATCCTACATACACTGTAAAATACTCTATTTGATCTCTGTTCTTTCAGGTTATTTTTTAAAGTCACCTTTATGTTATTTATAATAATGTTAAAAATTAAAATAAGGTAAAATAGAGTAGAAGGAACTATAATTTTCAATAAAGTTTATGGATGTTTAGAAGCTATGGGCATTTTGGAGAAATTCTATATAAAAAGTGTGCCTATATGCAAGAAGCAAGAAACAGCAAGTAATCTTATTTTGGATTTTAAGAAATAAATATCAGATGTCTACTTCTATCAGGATGGAATAAAAGGGATTATATTTACTGTTCCTCAATGAAACAACCAAAAGATGGACAAAATATATGAAATGACAGTTTGCAAGGGTGTACATATCAGATAATGAAGCAGAGAGAGGAAATGAATGAGGTCAGCCTTGTGATTGTCCTGGCTAACTACCTTTAGAGAATTTTTGAGCCTTGGCACAGTCTGGAGAGACCCAGGTAGAATCCCAAAGACTCCTTGAGTTGAGGAGGCGGCACTGACAGCCCAGGGAGGCTCAAGTCTGCAGATAGTGCCAGAGAGAAGAGAGCAGCACAGGGAGGAAAACCACCCTCCTAGAGATAGTAAAGCAAGGTTGTTAGTCAGGAGGAAACAATGCCAGATGAATATATGATTCTATAAATGGGATTGAGAGCACTGCATGGATACATATATAAAATTATCTTATTATTTAAATCATGTCCAAAGATAATCTAATGTGTAAAATTGTGAATGTGCAGTGAATAGCATTTGGAAAAGTAAAATGTATGACAAAAGCTCAAAGGTTAGGAATGGAGAAATGGAAGTATCCTATTTTCATGTTCTGAGAGTTTGCATGAAGCAGTAAAATATAACTTTAAAACAGACTGCAGTCACTTAAAGAGATATACTACATTTCTGCTCCTGGGAAGATGAGGTAGATATACTTTTCTCCTGTCCTTTTGCTGACTACAACTAAAAACAATGAGTAATATATATATATATATATATAAAAGAAACATAAATTTTTTTTGGAAGGCAGAGAGAAGGAAGACAGGTTTGGCACCTTGAAATCCAAGAAGCACACAGATGTGAGTTCCCTAGATTTTATTGTTGTCTCATACATCCCAGATCTGGAGGTGTAGACATTGGCAACTCAGAAACATGAACAGGTACAGACCAAAAAAGCCCCCAACAAAAGTCTGTTTTCTCTTCCAAAGGGCCTGGAAAGGTGCAGAGGAGCAGGACAAAAAACTTTTATATGATAACTTTTCAGCTCCAGCCAAACGTCACAGAAAAAACCTGCAGCCCAAACTTCACCTCAGCATCTAAAGAGTAGGAGTGTAGGCTTCCCACCTCCACCAGGCTGCAAAGAAACCCCCAAACTCACCAGGAGGTGGTGTCAGAGAAGGCAGAGAGGGGAGCGGGGGCTTCCATCCCCACTGGGCAGTAAAGAGCCCAGGCAGAACTGGCTTTCAACCCCTAATCTGTGGCCTTGAGCAGTTTAGTCTCTCTGAACCTCTGCCCATTTGTCAAATGAACACGCATTCCTACTTTGCGTGATAGAGTTGAAGATTAGCACCCATATATGAACAAAAAGTGCCCGACGCCCCTGAAAAAATGTAAAGTATGAACCATTGTACCTCTTAAGAATATGGAAGCAAAAATCCTTGACAAAGTAGTAACAAATAGCACTCCACAGTATATAAAATAGATATACAGCATAATCAAATGGGGTTTATTCCAGGGATACAAAGCTGATTCAGTATTTTGGAATCATGTTATGTTTTTATAAGAACGCTGACTAATACAATACCATACACACAACCATAACTCAAAATGGATCGTTCAGTGGTTCTCAACCTTCTGGCCCTTTAAATACAGTTCCTCATGTTGTGACGCAACCATAAAATTATTTTCGTTGCTACTTCATAACTGTCATGTTGCTACTGTTATGAATCATAATGTAAACATCTGATATGCAGGATGGTCTTAGGGGACCCCTGTGAAAGAGTCGTTCGACCGCCAAAGGGGTCGCGACCCACAGGTTGAGAACCACTGGTATACATAAATGTAACATCAAAACTCATAAAGATTCTAAAAGAAAACATCAGAGCAAATCTTTATTACTTCCTGTTAGACAAAGACTTCTTAGATATGATACCCAGAGCACAATTCACAAAAGAACAAATTGATAAATTGGATTTACCAAGTTAAAAGTTCTTTCTGAAAGACAGTATTAAAGCAGGAAAAGTCAAGGCTAGGGCTTGAGAGAAAATATTTACAGAATTTAATAACAAACTATCAATATCCATAGTAAGAAAACAACCATTCCAATATAAAATGGACATAAGATTCTTAACACTCCACCAAACAAGATATATGGATATCAAATAAGCACATTAAAAGAGTTTCAACATCTTTAATCATTTGGGAAATGCAAACCCAAACACTGAGACTATAGCAGACACCTTTAAACTTGTATCTTATTTCTATTCCTTTTTTCTTTCATTTGCTCTTTTTAAAATTTTATATATATATATATATATAAATGTATATATATGTTGTTGTTGTTGTTGTTGATTTCAGAGAGAAAGGGGGAGGGAGAGAGACAAATATCAATGCTGAGAGAAAATCATTGATCACCTACCTCCTGCACGTCCCCTACTGGGGATAGGGCCTGCGATCCAGGCATGTGCCCTGACCAGGAATTGAACTGTGACCTCCTGGTTCATGGGTCAACACTCAGCCATTGAGCAACACCAGCTCATTTGCTCCTTTAATATTATTTTTGTTTCATAACAAGTATCATTTGTTATCTTCATGAAGCTGCCATATGGAAATGAAGCCAAAAGATTGGTGTAATTGTAGAACAAAATGTTGGCTTGAGAAAGATGTGTTTTTTTCCTTACCTTAACTGGAAGGTTAATTTCTATCACACCTTCTCCCTAGAGTTATGATATACTCAATTGACATTTGTTCATTTTTATTAAAAACACAATGTTGCTATACAACCACAGCGACTAAGCTCTGCAATATGGAAGAAGTTGGGGATAGTGTGAGTAATGGTGACTAGACAGGCCACCAAAGTGGTCTGCCATAGATCTTTTTCAAACAAACTCCTACAGAAATAGCTATACTTTGAAAGATTTATATTAAAATTGTAAGTTGTGACACAAGCCTCTGTTTATTTCCTCTTGATTTTGGTGTTTTTTTTCCAGCTGCTGAAGGAATGGTGTGTAACCATCTGTGCTCAAGCGATGGCTGTTGGGGACCTGGGCCAGACCAGTGCCTGTCCTGCCGTCGCTTCAGCAGGGGCAGGACCTGCATAAACTCTTGTAACCTCTATGATGGGTAAGACATCTTATATGTCACCTTTACCTCTTGACCTTTGAGGTACTGGTTGATTCAGATTGTAAAATGTTAAGAATATTGTAAAATTTTAGTATGGGTATACAGGCCAAGATTTTTAAGGAGAACTTTAGTTGCATAAAGTAGACAACTTATAGAATAATTACTTAAAGAGGAAATAATATTATTGGAAATATCAAGTCCAAATATATATTGAATATTATTCACATTTTAAAAACATGTAACAAAATAATTATTAACAAATTATTGAAATTTAAGTAAAATTGAAAAGTATATTTCTAATCTCCTTATAAAAAGGATTGTTATAAGCAATCTTTTCTTTTGTATGTCCCAATAGTCTTTATTTTTATACTTTCTACTAATGTTCACCTTTAATTATACATAACTTTTATTTATGTTTTCCATTTAGGTTGCATGTCTATTTTATTTTATTTTAGGAATGACACACATTTCTATGTCTCTGACAACTGCTTAGCCTTATACAAAAACTACCTTCATAATTTCTAGTTGAATAGGTTTTTCTAAGTGTTCTGCCACTTTCTAAAGATAACCTAAGCAATAATTTAAATAAAATGTTTTACATTTCTTCTATTACTATAATAAAACCTTGTATATACCTTGCTGTATGACATCTCACATGCTCATAAAATCACTTTATCATAACATGCCATTTCATGCATCATAGTTATCCTTCATTAGTGTGATAACACATTTTTTAGTACTGTCCCTGAGTCAATTTTTTTATATTGCTCACAGTGAATACTTTCAACAGTTTTGTAAAATTGCAGTTTTGAATTTCTTTATTTAATTTCATCTTCTGCCTCATGAATTGTCCAATTTTTAGCAACTGTTTTCATGATCCCAAATAACATTATAATTTTGTATTTTATAAAAGAAAAATTAAAATGTCTGAAACAGTAATATATTTTTTAGTTTATCTTATTGTTGGAGGTATTACAGTGGTTTCCCTTTTTTCCCCTATTGATCCCCTCTACCCTAAACCTCTCTCAAGTCTACTATTTTGAATCATACTAATAATGATATGTCTCTTCTTTGAAAGATGACCAAATTCAATTCTGTCCATACAATTTAGAGGAAAGAGATTAAAATTAGAAAATTAAGTATAAAAATTTTAAATTAAAATGTAATAGTTTTTCAGGAAAATTTCAGCTTCTTATTTTTGCAAGATACAATCAGCTCATAAAATTGATAATGAACAACAAATTCTGTGCTGTTTATCTCAGTGAAATGTATTCATGGTTCTTTATTTTTATGAAAGTAATATATTTTCTGTACATAAAGTAGCTCAGATTAAAATATGCTTGTTTGTGGGTGGCAAATGACACCCCTAAAATGAAACTAATAGACTTTAATTCCATTAAGTGAATATTACAGTAAAAGTTTATTGAATATGTATCTGCAGTTCTAAAGAAGTAATAAATTCTAGGATACATGTTTTTTTACAGCAGTATCCTATAATCGCTGAGAACTGGTAGAATTAGTACTGGCCAAGCTCATAACACTGTAGGGAGCCCAAGCCAATACTACAACCCAGGGCATCATGTCCATTCTCTTTCCTTTTCAGATGCCATCGCTTTTTAAAAAATATTTCATTTTAGACTTACTGGAAATATGAAATTGATAAATATGTGGATCTATACATCACCCTCTCTCTCAATTGTGCAAAAAATGAAAACTAAGTAAAGGAAAATTACCAGTTTCCTGAATAAACAATAATTACCTGATTGTTTTTGAAAACTTACCATTTTCCATGTTATTAAATGAAATGTATTAAAGAAATTTAAAACTTTTTATATATTTTGAAATAGTAATAGGGCCCTGGAAAATCATACTCACAGTGTTAATTTGAAAAAATAAATAAAAATATCTTCTAAGAATCTGATGTAATTCTTGTCTGCCCAAACAAGGATATATTTCCCCATCTCCAGTTCTGTGGGAGTGGATAATTTCTTCAACATTGCCTAGTAGTTAAAACAACATTTGAGGGAAAATGAATTCAAAGCTAACCATCACTTTCTAGTGGAAATGTCCAACCTTGGACAAATAACCTAATCATTGTAAACTCCATTTTCTTATATGGCAATGGGAATAGTAACAGTGCCAACTTCATAAAATAGTTGTGATTATTAACTGAGAAATAGATAATAAAATCTTATTAGTGTTCTGGCCATCAAAACTCATTATTTTCTTTCTTTGTCTATTAATATGAGCTGACCAAATGGTTAGGTAGAAAAGTCACCTTAGAAACTGCTAAAAATAAATACAAATACAGTATGGCAATTACCAAAATCTTATTCTTATTTATAAAAGAGGTTTATTATCATAAAAGAAGAAACCCTAAAGAGAGCACTTGAAAATCAGCCAATTGTTGGCTATTAACACTCAAAATTCAAATCATTTGAGTCACTATATTTTGGCAACCCTTAACTACAATGCACAAGCTATCAAAATGAAAGGGAAAGTTAATTGCAATGGAATCTTACATTTTTCTTATCTGGCACGGTGATTAAACACTTCTGAAACTTTAAGAACACAGACACATCAAAAAGAGTGCCTGTCTAAGCTCTTTGTAGGCATTTTTACATTAATGATCACAACTTCTTATTGAAACATTTTTTTTTTCCTTTTTACAGAGGTTACCTAAAAAACTGAAGCTTTGAGAAATTGAGGGATTTAAAGCCTGGAAATATTAGCCTGGATCCTGGGATTTAAATTTGAGAAGGGTGTGACCTCAGAGTATTTGTTATTGATCATAGGATTGGCTAAGAGAGCAGACACCAACAAGCTGAAAAATGTAGGGCATCAAAAACAAGGAATAAAGCACGCTGAGTGCAATGCTCATGCTCAGCAGGCTGATTTCGTAGGTCAGGTTCCAGTGAAAGGGAATCTCTGGCAAGGTGGACCAGGAAGAAAAAGAATAGTGATGGAGGCAGTAACAAGAAAGAGGAGGAGTCATAGAAACTGTAAGAAGTATCTGTTCTGAGAGCAGAAAGGAAGAAAGCCAGAAGCCCTACAAATGGAAATGCAGTCCACAGAGGAAAAGGCAGCTAGATGGTCTCTAGTAATTTTTTTGTTTAAATCCTCACCCCAGGATATTTTTTCATTGGTTTGAGAGAGCGTGGGAGAGAGAGGGAAAGGCAGAGGGAAACAGCAATGTGAGAGAAACACATGGACTGGTTGCCTCCTGACCAGGGCGTAGGCCAAGAGGATCCTGCAGCCGAGGTACATGCCTTGACCAGAATCAAACCCACCACCTTTCGGTCCTCAGGCTGACACTCTATCCACTGAGCCCAACTGGCTAGGGCTGTAGTAATTTTTAATCATATTCACTTTATGTCAACTCTGTGTGCCAGAAAGGAGATTTTAGAGAAGAGACAGATAAGCATGGCCTATGTTCTAGTATCACAAAAATTATGACCTTTATTTAGTACCATAACCCTTTAGTCACCCCAGAAACCTGTTTGCAAAATAAATAATTTGCTGATGACACAAGCTTTGTTGTAACTGTCGTGCACTATCATTAAATAGATAATGCTTCTGACTATCTTTACAGTTTAGGTACTCCTCCCAACAGGAGGCCATTTTTCCCTTTATATTCTGCAGATTTCCTAGTTAACTATTTTATATCACTCATGTTGATGAAACGTGCAAGAAAAAAATATGTTTCAATTAATTGCAATTTTAAACCTGAGAAAATTCATAAAGCATTTAATCCATAGCAAACTAGCACTTTAAAAATGTTAAATCCATGTAATTAAATATTTGCATTTATACATAACTAAACCATTGATTTATGCTATTCATTTTGAAAACCAAATTTAATTACTTTGCCTTGGAGTAGGTGTCATCTTAATCTATCCAAAAGAAAATAGAGCGCATGCTTTGGACTTCTGTCATTTATTAAGGCTTTACAGTAACCAAATGAGATAGTTTACTATGAAAAAAAGGAAACATTTCACTCAAGGGAAAAATAAATTTGAATTTATCACCTAATTAATCCATAATTGCAATATTTGCAATGCTATTAGGTTGGAATGGTAACTCATAGTACAAAGGCACAAAACAATGCAGTAGCTATAAATATTTAGTCAGGTTTTGTTAATGACATTCTAAATTACCTTTGCCCAATACCGCACCCACTCACACAGTAGTGGGAATAGAATAGTTTAAACATATTGGACATGACTGATAACCAATTATTAAAATGAACATTTTAGAGTAGATATGGATTATCAAACTTATATGGATACCATTTAATATTCAAATAGTCACAATACATAATGGTGTGAGGAGGTATGATCATCATTCCAGGTTTTAATTAGAAAGTTTTAGAATGTTACCATTAAACTATTTTTATTGTATGCCATATAGAATTACTTCAAAAGGAGTTTAAACTGAAAAAAAAAATGTTGTGATATTAGATCAATAATCTGAGAAAATAAAATCTACCGTAAAAGGATCTTTTCTCTAATTCTCTATGGCAGATATTTTAAAAGAAGTAAAGAAATCAAAGCATTTTTTGAAGTTGCACCAAAAATAAATTAAACAGTCTTGGGATTTGAAGGACAAGGGTGGAGAACATTCATGCAACTTAGCAACAAGAAAAATACAATAGTCCTTTCAGAGTTTAAAATAACAAAGTTTCCACCAAGAGTAAAATTTTATAGAGATAGCCTCACTTCAAAAGTTAAAACGGTTCTGCTGTGTCATCAGAAGAGTTATACTTGCTTTATTTTTTGAAATGGCTACAGTATCTCTCACAAGTGAGAGGTTTCCTGAATGAGTCTATCGTTGAACCCAGTGGAGGGCAAGGAGAGCCATCTGGCTGCAGTTTATCTTCCCTCCTAATGGAGAACTTACTCCTTAATGTACAGGGAAATGATTCTGATGCTCCTGGCACAGAGAGAAACAAACTCTAGAATTTACTCTGCCAATAGGACTCTTAGCAGATGTTGCTTCATTTGTTAAATTGACAGCTTGTTTGCTTACACCACCTCATGCAGCTGATGTTTTCACAGAGAGTTTCGAGAGTTTGCGAACAGCTCCATCTGTGTGGAGTGTGACCCCCAGTGTGAGAAGATGGAGGATGGCATCCTCACGTGCCATGGACCGGTAAGCCTGAGGACATCTGTGCTTGTGTTGCCTTATTGAGTTTCATGTATGAGTGTTTGTGTCATGCTGTATTGCTTATCCATTCATTCTATAGGTATTTATAGCATGTAACGGGGGATCATGTTTGATATTTCACCCTCACGAGACTTTTAAGTTTGGTAATGGAGGTAAAATATGTAAAAATTCCATTTTTAAATATTTAAGTCCCAGATTATGTATTCAAAAAGGAGATATGGATTTGACCCTGAAGACTACACAGTGTTGAAAAGAAAACAGAGATGAACAAGTAATTAGCTTGAAGCAAAATAATTGATAAACTAAAATACGTATAAATTAGAGGCCCAGTGCACAAATTCATGCACCAGTGGGGGCCCTCAGCCTGGCCTCTGGGTTCGGGCTGAAACTGGCTCTCCAACATCCCCTGAGGGGTCCTGGGTTGTGAGAGGGCACAGGCCAGGCTGAGGGATGCCACCAGTGCACAGTCGGGCATGGGAAGGACACGGGAGGTTGGCCTGCTGGGAAGGACCATGGGAGGGCTCCCAGGTGTGTCCAGCCCATTTTGCTTAGTCCCAATTGGCAGGAACCCAGCAACAAGCTAACCTATCAGTTGGAGTGCCTGCCCCCTGGTGGTCAGTGCATGTCATAGCAAGTGGTTAAGTGGCCTTAGCATATCATTAGCATATTATACTTTGATGGGTTGAAGAGCTAACTCGACTGGGCAATTAGAATATTAGGCTTTTATAATATAGGATTGTTATAGGAACATAGTTGAGGGAGAAACTAAATCTGTCTTTGGGATGGAAAGTAGGCCATTAAAGCAGGCCATAGAGAAGTGATGTTTGAGCTATGCTTTGAATAAGAATCTGGAATGCAGAAATATGCAAAGATTTGAAAATGTGAAAGTTGGTGTTGTTTTGAGGTCAACTATAACATTCTGTGTTTAATTATTTAACTATTATGGCATTGTGAAGGTCCATTGAAAGAAGGAGGAAGGCAAATACAAATGAAAGTCTTAAGCAGTGTGATAAATACTATGGCAAAGAGGAAAATAGAGCTATGTAAATTTTAGGAGAGGGTGTGGTAGAGGGTGTGGGATCAGGAAGGTCTTCATGGGTAAATTGACATATATAGAGTTTGAAGTTAGCCTTACAGAGAAAATGATCATTACTTTTCAGTTTTCCCTTTGAGTCCCAACGTTCAGGCTTTATCTTAATAATGAAATTGGTATGTGTTTGTCATTCCAAAGTGTCATATCCATCTTTTATTAGACAAATTTCCAGTCCATTTGTGTATTGAGTCATCTCTCAGTAGATGACATAGGGACCAACATTTGGTTGTAGCCAAGGCCTCAACATTTCTCCATAAGAATTTATTTTAAAATTAAATATTATTAATTTTTCTGCCACAGTGCTCATTCATCACTTAAGTAATGTAGAAAAAAAAAATAATTGAGCCCTCCAAACTTACACTAGACCCCAAGAGCCATACTGGAACTTCATCTAAAGAAGGATGTGGAAAACTTGGAAAAATCAGACCTCTGAGAAAAAGAAGTGGTGTGATTTGGCCTGAAGAACCAGTCTAAAAGACAGTTTAATACTTAATGATCCCTAAGTATGTATGCAGAGGGCATATGCAGCCACTAAGGGTAGTAATGGAAAATATATTTTATCCACAGCATGGGAAATAGAGATTTTGTAAAGAATGTCATGAACAAACACAGGGAAATAAAGCTTCATAATGGGTTATTAAAGATATATTGATATAAGACTTCTTTTAAAACTAACATATTCAGACACCGTGAGTCATAGAATAATAAAATCTCTTTTAGAGAGACTGACACTTTGGAAATGTATATTTAGAGTAATCAAGAATTTGCCATCTTCTCTGACCATGTCAGGCTGCTAGAGAAATCCATGCTCTTTATATTCCTCATGCTGGCTCCTATGGCATAAATTATTCTAGTAAATAATTAGTTTATTAGTTTATTTAAATCATTCTGTTATTACATGGTGTCCCTGCATCACAGAAGCAGGAAAAGAGAAGGTTGAAGAGTTTAGCATAGTCAGTTCTAGAAATGCCTGCTATTTAATTTCATTGTGCAAAGCAAAATATGCCTTACCTCTGGTGAGAAGAGAATTTCAAGATTCCATGTAACTGGAAGTGGAAGAGAATTGGTTACTGGTGAAAAGCAGTTTTGTCTCTTACAATTGCTACTTGGGATAAACATTGTCACTGAGAAAAAAATGCATTGTTTCCATCAGGATGTGGTCTATCTTATAGTCGTCTGTCTAATTTATTGAGTACAGGGGTAGCTTAAAATCAGAGATAAGGAAGAATAGTGCCTTCACCTATGTTTTATGTTATTGCATTTTAGTTCATTCACTGAACCTAGGTTCTTAAAAGCTTTAGGAATATAATGATAAAAGAATAAGCGTTAGGCATACATATATTTCTTTAAATCTCTTTTTAATTGAAATGAGGTGGAGAAACAGTACATTTCATTTCTTTTGAGATTTGCCAAGAAAGACATTTTTTAGTTAATTCAGCTTAGGATATCAGGATTTGTATAATGATAACACAATGAAATAGTTGAGATACTTGAAAAAAATAAACACAAAAACAATTTGTCTTATTATAGTGTACTTAAAGTTTAAATGTGAATTTAATTTTAGTTTCATAATTTTTATAACTTTTGATTTACCTGGATATTATTTTGCATTACAATTTTATAGAAAAATAATTTCTAGTTGACACTGTAGCTGCCTAATTTACTCATAGTAAGTTATATTCTTGTGTTCTGCAAGCAGACATTAGCATGTCTCTTGTCTTGTACAATAAGTCATGCTACTGAGCATACTTGCACAGTAAATGATTTTGTATAATAGAAGGCATTATGTGCCTAAGTACCCATGAGCAGGTGTTAAAATTGGAAGCATGTGAAGTATTCTTTTCTGGTAGGAAATAAGACGTTTCCAATAGCAAACTCTTCAGTTTGAATACGGGTTAGGTGTCATCAGATAATTTGTTTTTTTTTCAAAGCTGTAAGTCTCACATCAAAATAGAGATATAGACAGGTGTTTGATTGAACCTCAGCAGTCATGATTTCCTGAATCATGAAAATACTGATGTTCTGGAAAAGTCCTTGGGAAATGTTGCTGATCGAAAAAGCTACAAGAGCTGCATCCCCATTTTTATTACTGAAAATGTTCCCCAATTCCATCGAGGTGTATTGACCGCCCACTCAAGTCTCGGTATCTAAGCCAACCGAATACATTTCAGAGTAAATGGCACCTATTTCTCTTTGTTTATTTGATTTTATTTTGTTTTTCACATTTCAGGGACCTGACAACTGTACAAAGTGCTCCCATTTTAAGGATGGCCCAAACTGTGTGGAAAAATGTCCAGATGGCTTACAGGGGGCAAACAGTTTCATTTTCAAGTATGCGGATCAGGACCGGGAGTGCCACCCCTGCCACCCCAACTGCACGCAGGGGTAAGCATCGGCCAACAGAGCCCCCACCCCGGCTTGTGTGTATTGCTAATCCAAAGGCCCATGCCCATGCCTGCATCCCGGACACAGGCTACAAAATGTGTAGTGTTCTCATACAAAATTCTATTCATCTTTATATTTAACATGTTGGCTTTAAGAAAAATCCTTTCTAAGAGAATGGTTTAAGGAAGCAAATGTATACCCTTTGAAATATTTCCATTTAACCAGCACTGTTTTATTGACGTCTTCATGAAGCTGGTGTCCGGTGTACTTAGTATGGAGTGTGAAAATTCTTTCAAACTTACAGGAGATTGAAGCTATCAGAAAAGACAAGATAGTAATCATACTTTTAAGATGTGTGCTTAGTAAATCTTCAGCAGAGGTTTTCTGTTTCTGTTTCTTTGTTGTTACAACCAGTTTAAAGGAAGGTTAGCTCTCTCTGGTAAATACTGCCTTGGATTACTCCATCAACAAAATATAAGCAAAAGTAGTAGGGGCAGAAAAAAAGGGAACTTAGTAACGTGTGCTTTAATAAAATTAAGAGTGCTTCTTTTGAAAATAATTGTGTTACAGGTTAACCTATAACTGAGACATTTTTTTTTGTTTGATGTAGGACAATTCAAAGATGGACACACATTTTTCTGTTTTTCAAAAAGATGTCATAAAATAAATAAAAAGTAGATTTATCTTTGATACTGATAACGGTTGAATAACAAAGACATTTTACCAAAAGAAGAAAAGTACTTCACTATAATGGAAATAATGTCAGTTACCTAACAAACCCCAACAACTATTTTTTTTCAACAAATCTATGCTAGTAAGATATTTTCTTTTTCTTTTCTCCGGAATGTGAATAATTTTAGAGTCGAGAGCAGTTTCACATGCTCTATCTCCTTTCTGGCCATAAAACCTCATCTCTCTTGTGAGTGCCCATACCCATGTGCACACACATGTACAAACGCATCCCCTTGTTGAGAATTAGCTTGGTTACATTATTTCTGGCAGGAAAGCATGAGATTCCATAAAGAGATTGTCTACCAGATTAAGGGCTAGCTGTTAGGGGATGTTGGAGAAGTGAAGCAAACAACATTATCTTCTGCCAAGAAAGCATTAATTTGCAGATGCTGCTACAGTTTCCTTCAGGTCAAGGAATCAGTTTAAGTCACTCTGTGAAATGGCAGGTCCTCAAAGGTAATGCCATATTGCGCCATTCAAATTCAAATTCAGCTTGGAAGAGCTAATGCCACTCACTGGTTTAGATATAAGCACACAGGGTGAGGGCACTGAAGTAGTCACACAGATACTGTACTTCTAGGAAACTAGAAGGAATAAACTGCTCCCCTGGTGAGTTTTTGGCACGCGCGGGTTAAGAGTATTTCATGAAGAAACCACTGGTACCGCTGGAGCAGAAGCACCAGCAACTGAAAGGGAAAACTTTGCCGCTAAAATAATCATCCACAAGAGGGTTTTATTGTTTTGCGGCTAAAATTAAACCAGTAAATTATTTAATATAATGTTGATGACAACAGCTGTTGCCATTCAAAAGGAGGCCTTTTGCTGTTTTTGCGAATCTAATTACAAGGAAGCCATTAGGGAAATGAGTGAGATCACAGAGCCCCAGTCTGCGTGTGTCACTGGTGTGTCTTCCCCTCAGCCCTTTTAAATCATTATCATACAATAAAAGAAGACACATATCATGGGGGGAAGAAGAAGGAGAGACAATGAAGATACCAATTTACTACAACAACAAAAGGTGGATGCCAGCCAAAAGGGAGCAGGCAGGTGTAATAGGGAACAAATCTGACCAGATCATTTGGGAACTGCCAGGAAATGGAAAGATGTTTTTAAACTCACTGCTACAGAACGGTGGGGACACAGAACTTGAGTAGAATACTCCCTGGCCTCTTCCAAGGTACATGGGCTCTGTAATGAGCGACTGAAGGATTTCTGGTTTTGCTTTTATTTAGTTAAGTGCTGTTTTGTTTGTTTGTTTGTTTTCCTGATAGCCTCCATGTGATCGGGGTTCACTCACTTCATGAAAGTTCTGTGGCCCCAGCCACACAACAGAATTTAGAAATGTGCTTCCTGAGTCCCCTCTGTACAGCACTGCTGGGAAGCCCTGTGCTTTGAGATCTGTCGCTGAAGCAGTGGAGTGCTCTGCGCAGCCCACAAAGATCGCAAGGGCAGGGGCATGATGGGACGAGTGACTATTTTTATTCCGAAACACTTGTAATTTACTACCCTATGAGGAAGTGTGAGCCCCACCAGGCCAGCTCCACTTTGGAAAACAGCGCTTCTTTCATATGCCAATATTATGTCAGCCAGATCATTCAAGAACAAAGTTAATGGACATAGTCTTTCAAATCACTTATTTTTTTAAGAAGGAAACTTCTTCCTTTGAATACTGTTTAATGATTTTCTGAAAATGAAATTATCTGTTTAATACCTTGAAAGCACATTTAGTACTCTAGAAGTGCATTAGATAAATTGGCTCTAATAAGTTCTTTAGATACTTTCTTAAAAGTAGGTGATCCATTTAGCACCTGTCAGGAGATTCTCACTAATATTCCTAGAGAAAAGAAAACAATAATGTTGTCTCTTTTTGTCTTGACGAAAGGACTGTAGTTTAGCAGTCTTTTCTCATTGAACACCTGCTGGGCATCAGATATAGTGAGTGATAGCCAACTTCAAAAATAGGCAAGACAGCTCTGGACCACTAGGAAGTCACAGTGAATTTTTATTTTCAACAGTTTAAATCTGTCTTTTAGAGACCTTTGCCCACATTTTGTAATGATGAGCAACAATTTAAATCTTAGGGACGATTTTCATATTTGAAATCATCCAGGTAGAAATCTTTAAAGAGGACTTGTAAACTAAATTTACTATGTAATTAAATGACCATAAGGACAGGGATTATTGTTTCCTCACTAGCGCCGCTAGTCCACGATAAATGTCAATTTAATTTGGTTTTTAGACATGGACTGGGATATTTATGTTTCATTAGGGCATTTTTTAAAAACTTTATTAAATGTCTGTTAGTATTAGAGGCATGACTTCATATTATTAAATTTAATCTATGTCTTACTCTTTATTATTAATTCTTTTTTATATTTTCAAATTTAGTGAAATAATTTCTGTTGATGGAGACGAGGAAAGACAGGCTGTTGTGGAATTATTGTCTACACTATTTTAATTTTTAAGTATTCCTCCATTTTCATTTAAGAATTTGGAGATTTTATGAAAATATATTAACAATAAAGATTTTTTTAAAAAAATCTCAACTATGTTACTGGCAAATATTAAACAGCTCAATATTTGAAATTCCAGATATTTTATAATGTTATACTGATATATCATAATTTCTCTTTCTGATATTTCCATAAATGTTCTACTGTAGAACACTAATTTTATTGAAAGTCATATTATTCCATATCCTTATTGTGCTAAATAGTTGTTTATATAAAGTACAGAGTTGAAATAGAATATACATCTTTAAATACACATTGACTCGTATTGAGAAAGGATAGTACCACTTCAGCCAAGCCCTCATTCTTCTTTGTCTTCCATTGTTTCTTATCCCCTCAGCTTATAAATATGTTTAAATCTCAAATATCCTACACAAGTCTCTCAACAAATTTTCTTTAGCACATGTCCTGTCCCCTCTTTCTCTCTCCTTCCTTTTCCCTTGCCTCTGTCTTCAGTTAGCTTCTCAATTCACAACAACCTAAATGCTAGTGAGCTCAACAAGGACAACTGAAATACTATCAGTAGTTCTTATCTTACTAGACCTCTCCGTGCATCTGACACTGATGATTACCCTGTTGCCTGGAGTTCACTTCTGATTGAGCTTCAAGGATGCTGTAATTAATTCATTAAACTCTGTTATTTTCCCTCCTGCTTCTGACATGTGCTCATTGCACGTCATTTACTCACTAGTTATTGAAGTTCCTTGAGTTTCAGTCTCAATCTACGCTTTTTTTTTTTTCACTTTATAGATTCTTCTTCAGCCATATCATTCACTTACATGGTTTCAATTTTCTCCTGTATGCTATTTCAAAATTGATTATTACACTGCGCCTTCAGCCTCTACCCCCACCCTCCAGCGACAGATTCATTTTCTAGCTGCTGAGGAACATTTCCTGCTGGATTATAGAAGAGCCACACTAAGTTCGTACCAAAACTGAAATTAGCAACTCCTCCTGCCCCAACACGCCCAAGAAAACGATGATCCTCTTCTTGCATTCTCTCACTAACGGTAGCACTAGTCTCAAAATTAGAAATATAAGTCATTCTTAACTCTTTCTTCCCCTTTCATCCAAAAATCAGCCATCAACTTCTCTTTTTCCCCCCCATACCTTCTGAGATATTTCTTTTTAATCTGTCCCCTGCTTCTATCCTAGGTACCATTTTCCTAGTTTAGTCCATCATCTTTTGAATAGACCAAAAGAGTCTCTGTAACAAACATGTCTTCCTGGCTCCCAACTGGCCAGTCTCCACAAAGAGATCTATGGAAAACACAAGCCAGCAGTTTCGCTACTTCTTTGAAACCCTCTGGTGGTTTTTTATAATGTCTGTGCCTGAACAAAGAGGCTTCAAATTCTGGTTCCTGTTGCATGCTCTAGGTTCTACTTTTCCCTGTCCCTATTGCCTCATCTGTCTTCTTCATTCAATTGTGAGCTCAGCCCTAGCTGGTTTGGCTCAGTGGATAGAGCATAGGCCTGCAGACTGAAAAGTCCTGGGTTCAATTCCAGTCAAGGGTAGATGCCCTGGTTGTGGGCTCGATCCCCAGTGGGGGGCATGCAGAGGGCAGCCAATCAATAATTCTTTCTCACCATTGATGTTTCTCTCTCTCTCTCCCTCTCCCTTGTTCTCTGAGATCAATGGAAGCATACTTTTAAAAAACTTGTGAGCTCATTACAAAGAGGCAAATGTCTAACTCATCTTTTCTTTTTCTACCTCCAGGCCCTAAAATGGTAGGAATGCTGAGTAGGCATGCAACACAATTTTGTTTTGTTTTTAATGAGTGAATGATTTTTCATTATTCACACTTTTTCCTCAAGTTTAATTTCACTTTGAAATATTTTCCTATTTTTCAAAGATTATTATAAAGATACAGATTACAGCCCTAGCCGGTTTGGCTCAGTGGATAGAGCACCAGCCTGTGGATCAAAGGGTCCTGGGTTTGATTCCAGTCAAGGGCATGTACCTCTGTTGCAGGCTCCTCCCAGCCTCGGCCCTGGCATGGAGGAGGCAATCAATGTGTTCCTCTTACGTTGATATTTTTCTCTACCTTTCCCTCTCTCTCCCACTCTCTCTAAAATATCAATGACAAATATCCTCGGATGAGGATTAAAAAAAAAAGACATAGATTACAAACTAACCATAGCTTTCAAATTCTCATTCGGAAATAAGTATGCTATTAATTTTCCAAACTGTCAATACTGTATATTTAAAAATAACATTTTGAAGAAAATATAATAGGAACTTCAAAAAAATAAGTTCTTCAGAATTGAATAAGAAGAAACCATGATAAGACAATTTGGAAGCTTTTAAATTAGTTAATTTTCCATTTTCAGAAAAGGTTTTAATTACAGATTATGGTATCAATTCAAAACTATGTGCTGTAGTTATTTATTTGCATATTAAAAAACTTTTTATAATGTATTTCCCATATACCTGTATGTTAAAAAAAATGTCTGACTTCTCAAAAACAATCCTCAAAACAAAAACAAACCAATTCCAACTTTTACCTAGTCTGAATGTTATAATATATTTTTGAAACAGGAAAATAGCGACATAATTATTGTTGGGCATAGTAATAATAGTTCACCAATGTTTTGTTATTTAAAAATATAATGGACAGTCTGGCTTTATGCATGATACATTTGTTATTCATTATACAGTGATTTTAGCATCAACTTCTTTTTCTGTTTAAGAAATTTTAGTTTGGAAAAAGTCATTTTCATTACCACTGAATTAGACAGTTCTATAAATCATAGCTGTATGAGGAATCTTGATAATGCACTGGAGCTATATGTCTTTGATGGGGGAAAACAGAAAGAAAAGCAATTCAAGTACATTGGAAAATGGAAAAAGAATATTTCTAGAATACATCAAAATGAAATTATAGGGGCTGCAATTTTGTGTACTTATATTATTTCACTTACTAGTAAATGTTAATCTCAGTGGATTTTTAGTTACCTGAGTCTAAACATATTCATTTCCTTGGAGAGGATTAATTTATTTGTTATTTTTTACATTAAATATTTTGGCAGTTTAAAACCAGTTTTTGTTTGCCTGTTATGGCACTGCTCTTTGAAAAAAGAGTGTCAAGATAAACGGTAATATGGTGAAACCAGTTAATTTGCTTTTTAAATGAATTCAAGTTTAAAGATAAGTATGTTATAAAGACAGTCACAGCCAAGGAATGGAATAATGTGATTATGTAAAATATCTATGAGACTAGCATTAAAGAATGTTAACTCACTTTCTGCCAAAGTCAATCTTTAATGAATATTAAGCATCAGGTTATTATATGATATTCAATAGTATATGTTTCCTTTTTTATTGATTTTGTGTTTACATAAATTGAAGAGCTTTTAGATGAAACTGTATGCATGAAACCAATTATTGCCATGGAAATATCAAGTTATTCATCAAGACATATAATCATGAACGATGCAAATAAGTAGAAAGTATTAGAAATGAGCAATATGCGTTTGGAAACTACCCACAAAATATAGCAAAATGTCCTTTTCTGTGGATATATTTCTTTGCATTCTACGTGGGTGGTATTTGCAATTTATTCCTGTGTATCCATGCAGCAATAATCTCCACATTGCCTTTAAATTCATGGTGTTCCAAAATTGTCTAATAACTATAATTAAGAATTTCACACAATTGGTATTTATCTTATTGATTTTTTTAAATGACTAATTTTTTCCTTGTATTTTTAAAATTTGGATCTTCTGCAGGTGCATAGGCTCAAGTATTGAAGACTGCATCGGCCTGATGGATAGGTACTTGGTGTGCTTGCTTCCCATGTTCTTCCTGGAGGCTCCATGTGTGAGCACCGGTGCATGTGTGTGCATGTCACTGTGAATGGAGAATGATGTTTTCTGTTCTGTAATTGCCTGCAGGTGTAGCGGTCCCACTAGTCATGACTGCATTTACTACCCTTGGACGGGCCATTCCACTTTACCACAACATGCTAGGTAACATCTACCATGTTTCCATTTTGTCACTCAAATTATCCCAAATATCATGGATGAAAAGTACTAACCAGTTGGGTGAAGTTTATAATATGTTAAATTAGGGAATTAGGGAGACATATAACACTTTACTTTTCAAGCTACATTTCTTACCTCTTCTCACTTCATTGATTATGACTTCAAATCCAAATTAGTAATATAATTATTCTAAATTTTATACAATCAAACAGAATTAACTAATTTTGAATTAAGTCAGCACTTTTATAAAATAGTTCATTCTCAATTCTGTAGATAATTTTAAAAATAAATATTTTAAGGGAGGAATTTGTAAAAGTTGATGTATTTTTATAAGATGCTTGTTATTGATTCACTTTCTGATTTAATATTATTTTGAACTGGTTGGTATAAGCTCTAGATATCAGAATTACCATAGATTAAAGGCAATAAATAAAATATTTTGTGAAGGTAAAAGTACAAGGTGGGATTTAAAAATGAAATGTGTCACTCGCGCACATACAAAAACCTAAGTATGAATGTAGTTGCTTAATTCAGAATCACTCCAAACTGGAAATTACTCACATGTTCTTCAGTTATGGTATATCCATACACTGTAACTCTACTCAGCAATAGAAAGGATGTAACTGCTGACATACACCAAACATGGGTGGGTCTCAGAAACATTACTCTAAATGAAAGAAGCTGTACTTAAAAGAATACATACTGTATGATTCTATTTATATGGCATTCTGAAAAAGGCAAATTGTAGGACAGAAACTCGACCAATGTTACCAGAGGCTGGGGCAATGAGGCATCAGGTTGACTACAAAAAGGCATGAGGAAACCTGTGGGGATAATGAAACTGTTCTGCATCCTGATAGCAGTGATGGTTGCACAAATGTATGTGCTTGTCAAAAGTCATAGTCCAATACATTTAAAAGGATGAATTTTACTGTGTATAATTGACAACTTGATAAATTTGACATTAAATAAAACTCATATATAGGAAAATAGTAATTTTACAACATTATGTAGAAATATTGTATGCTTTCTTTATGAAGCATTTATTGTATTTTTTGGAAGAGAAAAAGCAGTGCTAAATTATAATTAGCAAAATGAGAGTTTTGGATGACTTAATGATTGTTAATGCAAACCATCGTGTTGAAATATAGCATATGTAGAGTAAAAGTACATCAAGATAAGTGTAAATCCCAGTGAGTTTCTTCAAATGCAACATTGGTGTAACTGTCAGGCAGATCAAGAAGAAGCACAATAGTACCAGAACCAGAAACCCTTTTGTGCCCCATGGCAAGGGTAACTGCTATCCTGAACATTAACACCATAGGTCAGCGGTGCTATTTCTGTACTTTATATGGGGTGTCCCAAAATTCACGCAAGAAGTAATTTTGATAGAAAACACAGGGTTTTAATTAAAAATCATAAATATTTATTGATTCAGAAAGTATACAGTATAGGGTTATGTATGGAATAGCACATTGGGTAAATGGCCTCCACGGCTTTGCTGGCACATATGCAAAGCCGTGGTCTTCATTGGTCTTCATTGTCCCTGCTCCTGGGCCATAATTGGTACTTGGTAATGCTTATCAAATTGAAGGGATTGAAATCAAAGGGCAACATATATTAGAATCTGATTCAATAAACCAAGTAAAATAAGGCTTTCATTTTTTGTTGTTGTTAATGCTCACACAAAATTCAAATCTTGAATTCACCCTTTATATAGGGTGAATTTTGGGACACCCTATATAAATTATAGAAATTGAATCATTGTTTGTACTCTTTACATCTGGCTTCTTTGTCTACATATTATATTTATGAGATCCATTTATGTCATTAAATTTAGTCATAGTGTTTAGATTTATATGGTATTTGCCTTTAAGTATTTTTAAAGCAATCAAATAAGTGCTATGTCAATAGTTTTGTTTTTTAATGAAATAAATAGACAATTAAATTCTAAAAAACAATGTATATGGTAGACTTCGGTGATTTATACAATAGTGGCACTTTGGCACTTGGGCACAATCAAGACTAGTTTGTAACAGTTGTTTAGAACAAGGCCAAAATTATGAAGAAACAAAAGTCAACACACATGAGAGAGAGAAAGAGAGAGGGAGGGAGAGGGACAGGGACAGGGAGAGAGAGAGAGAAAGAGAAAGAGAGAGAGAGAGAGAGAGAGAGAGAGAGAGAGAGAGAGAGAGAGAGAGAATCTTCCACCCCCAGGTCCAAATTAAAGTTTTTTTTTTTTTAAGTCAAGACTTATTTTAGATTGAAATGGACCTATATTCATGAAATAATTTTTCCTCCTTGAGTCTTTGAGTCTCTTTACTGTAACTTTAAATGGTGTTTTCTTTCATATTTGTTTTAATTTTTTTAAAAATAATGATTTAACCATCTAGTTCAGTGATGGCGAACCTTTTGAGCTTGGCGTGCCAGCATTTTGAAAAACCCTAACTTAACTCTGTTGCCGTGTCACATATAGAATTTTTTTGATATTTGCAACCATAGTAAAACAAAGACTTATATTTTTGATATTTATTTTATTATTCAAATGCCATTTAACAAAGAAAAATCAATCAAAAAAATGAGTTCGCATGTCACCTCTGACACGTGTGTCATAGGTTCGCCATCACTGATCTGGTTAGAGGCAGTATAGTATGGTGATTAAATATGCTATCTTTGGGATCAGACTTTCTGAGGTCAAAGTCAGGCTCTACCATTTTTTAGATGTATGACCTTGGGTAAGTTCCTTAATTTATCTGAGCCTCACTTTCTTCATATATAAAATAGTAATATTAATATAGTTCATAAATTGGTTGTGAAGATTGAATGAGTCCATAGAACAGTGCCTGACTGAGATAAATCACTCAATATGTGTTATTTATTATTTCTCTATAGATCAAGGACTTTTAATGTTGGGGATGGGGAAAACCATTCCCAGGGGAGGAGGGAAGTCGCTCAAAGTAACCCAGGTAGCTTTCATATGTAGCTCTACTCTGATGGTCCTTTGCAGGAAGGGAAGTGATTTCTTTCTCACTGTCATGAGAGCCACAGGTACCAATGGCAGTAGGTCATAGGCAGAGGCATCTACAGAGACTGAGAAAAGTCTAAAACCATAGTGATTGATCACTTGTGGTTTTCAATGCCATATGAGGTTGTATAGCTCAAAATCATAGTGTACTGTCGACATACAAAACATGAAAACTTTAGAGAATTTTTATGAGTGTATTTGGGTTTATTTACACCAAACTGGTGACATGTCAGGAAGCAAAACCTCAAATGCTCTGGAGAATGACAGTTTTACAGTGCCTTCTTTTTCTTTTTCTTTATTGATTAAGGTATTATATATGTGTCCCACTCCCCCCTCATGCCCTCTTACACATTTGGATTTAAGGAGGGAACATAAGGAAGATTAAATGAAGGTGGGAGAAAGCAAGGTACAAGATAGTTAACAAGATTGTGTGTTCCCTTAAAGGTGGTTAAGCCTCCCAGGGGTCTGAAAAAGAGGTTTACTCGGGCATTTCAGTGGTGAGTTACCCTACATACCCAAGCACAATGGACAGGGCTTGCTTAAGGCTAAGATCAAACTTGTATAGGCTTGGGGCATGACCACCCACAACCTGCCCTATTAGGAATTTATGATCAGATCAACCTGTGAGGTTACTTTTGGTCAGAGTTATTACAGAGCCTCATTTTTGTTCAAAATATCTCATTATTGACTTAGTATTTCCAGCATTTAAACAAAAGGGATTTGGTAATTTTTAATCCTATTACTTGCCTGGGATCCCAGGCCATTTTCTATAGTCTCAGATTAATGCACTTAATTCAGATTAGCTTTGACAAAAATACAGAGATAATCAAGGCCAGCAACAGAGACTTGATAGTACAGTTCACCTATCATTCCTGTGAAAAATCACGTGTACACCTTTGTGCAGATAAAGAGCAGGGATTCTTGAACATGAAAGCCTGGGTCCCAGTATTAGCTCTGCCATGTTTGGTATCTGTAAAATGAGATGATAATGGTAATTTTTAAATTGGGAATTTTTAAACCTAGTAAGATCGGTGTAGAGATTACTTGAGATGATGCACAGGATCCATTAACTAGTATATGGACATTATGACAGTTCAGTCTCTAATTGAAATACTGGAAAAATAAATCTTTTTGAAAATATTTTGAGGTTGTGAGATATATATATATATATATATATATATATATATATATACACACACACATCAGTATGGCATTAATTCAATAGTTTAGTTGCTACAGAATTGACATGTTAAATTTCTCAGGTTTTAAGCATTTCAATTTTCTATGAGACTTTTAAATATAATGATTTCAAAGAATTCATAATAGGAAGCCAACTGTTCCTTTTAGAAAACTGTGGATATATTTAATTAATACCTGTCTTAAAATGTAATACTTGGTTTAGACTTAAATTTAAAGCAATGTGACTCTGTTCTTTGATTCCATTGACTTGTCAGACGCTATTTATAAGGCAGTTTGGAATTTACAGGAAAGGTTTAGATTGTACACTTTGGAAGAGTGTTTATGACCGTGGGGAATTTTGGTGCAGGTTGAATGAAAAATGAAATTAACAACCTTCCCCATTTCAGGTCTTTATATTTCAGTAAATGCTTGCTGCTCTGAAATGGGGTGGGTATACATTTAATTGAAAGCAGGGGACTAATCAAGTAATATTTCAGGTAATTTACCTTTTTATAAATTCATGATTTTTTTTAAGCTTTTGTCTTAATTAATTAAAGTGGATCTTATATATAGTCAGGACAAAAAAAAAAACATGATAGAAAACAATAACTTTAAGTTTTCTAAACGATGTTGTGACTGGGAGAGTATCCAAATGCCTGGTTTTCTTCTTAGTCAAATAAAAATTTTAGTCACCGGAAATTTCCTGAGCATGTCAATGTGGCTGTTTTCAAATACTGAGTTCATACTCCCTCCTGCCCCTCCATGCTGTATGCTGTTTCTT